ACAATCACATGAATTTACCCACAAGGACATACTATTCAAGCCCCTACCTCTTCAGGGGGAGAGCCTTCTCTGTGGGGGCACCCGCCCTGTGGAATGAACTGCCTCCTGGAATACGATTGACCCCGGACCTCCGGACCTTCCGTGAAGCCCTGAAGATGTTTTTATTCCATCAAGCTGGCCTAGCCTAATGGTTTTTAAATTGGGATTTTAAATTTTATGGATTTGGGGGTTTTATATTGGAAGCTAGTGATTTAATTCTTTTTAATTATCTTAACTTTTGTATTTGTATGTTTTTTTAATTTTGGCTGTTCACCGCCCTGAGTCCCTTCTGGGAGAAGGGCGGTATATAAATTAAATAAATAAATAAATAAAATTTTGCAATACTGAGGCATAGAATACCTTACTTCAATAGAATAGAATAGAATATAAAGAATTGAATTGAATTGAATTCTTTATGGGCCAAGTGTGATTGGACACACACGGTATTTATTTATATTGGTGCATACACTCTTGGTGTACAATATGACCTCTTGGTCATATTGAAATACAAATTGTGTGATATTATTACCTTTGTATGCCACTACAAGCACATCTCATATAAGGAAAAATATTTAAAACATTTGCATTAGGTCTGACAACTAAAAAGCAATAAAATGACAACTGAGACATAACATAACTCAAAAATAAAAGCAGATTGCCCAGTCTGGCTAGAATGGCCTCCAGAATATTTGTTCTTGATGCTTCTAGGTGATTTTGAAGAGAGGGCAAGCCATTCTAGCCACACTGGCTGGTCACATCTTTATTTTTGAGTTATTTTGTCTTATCTATTTTATCTATGCTTGGATCTTGCATTGATAATGTTACTTTCCAGGTGCAATTTAAAGTGCTGGTTTGACATAGAAAGCAATTTATGGCATTGTATATGGGTACCAACAAGACTGATTGTTTCAACCAGAACTGGCTTGATTTATTAGGTTACCTAAAGAGAAACTCCGCCTAGTCCCCTACTTCTGGAAAGAAAAAGGAGCGGGAGACATGATGCGAATCTTGGCGGCGACAGCACTAATTATTTGGGGCATCTTCTCTTTGGAGGGGAGATTGATAGCATGTGCTCCTAATCAAGGGGCCTGGCTAGCATTTGGGGCATTGCATTCTGAACTAACTGCAGTTTTTGAATGAGCATGAGTCATTGTACCATAGTAAGATTTTTTTTTTCGGTCCCAGGTAAGGCTGCAAATGGCAAAGTTGCAATCTATTCCCAGAAGAATAGGATGCTTGGGGAGCCTAGGGTGCCTAGTTGTGAGCTGGCGACAACAGCGGCAGCAGCGGTGGAGGCAATGGCAGCCATGGACCGGCCGGCCAGGGAAACAGCTTGCAGTAGGTGGATGGGGGAGATATGGAAAGCCTTTGCCCTCAGGACTACCATCTGGCCTTTATTGACTGAGACCCCTACTGTGATCGGGGGTTTTGAGATCAGAGATGTGACTGGGGGTTTGTGGAGATTTGGGGGTAGGAGAAGCGGGAGGCTGACCATGGTTTGGTTTATTGGTTGCCTCGGGTGGCCCGTCTTCCCCCCTTCCCCCAGGTATGGGTGGGTGTTGGCCTTTGATGGCCATCCACCCTTGGATTGGGTTTTGCTGTTTCACTATTCCTACTCTCGCCTCAAGGAAGATCTTGTGCCCGTGGGACTATTACCATTGCTATTAACATCTTTACGAACTGCTGGCCTCTTATCCGACCCCTAACTGGAAGAGAACTGGGTGAAATGGTATGCAGGTGCTGAGGGGGCTGTTGTCATCCACCGAACGAAAGGATGGACTATTCTGACTTTATTGTCGGTGTCATCTGGCCCAGTCACTGTGAAAGGGTGACTGGGATAATTATCCTCCGAACGTGGTGGGATGACACTGGCTTCTTCCACTGCCGTGAGAGGGCAGTGAAGCCCAGCTCCTGGTACGAAGATCTACTCTTGATCCAGTACTATTGGACTATCTGGTGAAGCCCTGACCAGTTTACTTTCCACCTCTGTTTTTTTTTTTTTTTGGTGATGTTTATGGCTGCTGAACTTCTTGCGCTGTGAGACTCCCCCCTCTTGCATGTTTGGCCCTCCTCACTATTGAGGCCCTACCTTGATGACGGATTTTGGAATCTCGGGAGATGGCATGTTGCGAAGAGGGGGCTGTGGGTTTTTTTTGGGAAGTTTTTAGATAGGATTTTAAAGGGTTCTGGGAGGGAAGTGAGTTGTGTGGGTTTGGGGGAGAACCCGCGGGGGAGGAGGCCTGGTCCTGCTGAAGAGCGCGGCATGGGAGGTGCTGGCCTCTCGGAAGGTTACACGAGACTGGCTCCAGGGGATTATTAATGCTTCCTTGAGTGAGGGTGTCTTCCCCGCCACCTTGAAAGAGGCGGTGGTGAGGCCTCTCCTCAAGAAGCCTTCCCTGGACCCGGCAGTGTTGGGTAATTATCGTCCAGTCTCCAACCTTCGCTTTGTTGCGAAGGTTGTTGAGAGTGTGGTAGCGTGACAGCTCCCTCAGTACCTGGATGAATCGGCTTATCTGGATCTGTTCCAATCGGGCTTCAGGCCTGGGTACAGCACAGAAACGGCATTGGTCGCATTGGTTGATGATCTCTGGAGGGCTCGGGACAGGGGTTGCTCCTCTGTCCTGGTCCTATTAGACCTCTCAGCGGCTTTTGATACCATCGACCATGGTATCATGCTGCACCGGTTGGAAGAGTTAGGGGTGGGGGGCACCGTGTTGCGTTGGTTCTCCTCCTTTCTCTCTGACCGGTCGTAGTCTGTGTTGGCAGGGGGGCAGAGGTTGACCCCAAGGCGCCTTATATGTGGGGTGCCACAGGAGTCAGTCCTCTCGCCCTTCTGTTCAACATTTATGTGAAGCTGCTGGGTGAGATCATCCATGGTTTCGGAGTGAAGTACCATCAGTACGCTGATGACACTCAGCTGTACATCTCCACCCCGGATCAGCCCAATGATGCCCTTGAAGTGATGTCCCAGTGCCTGGAGGCTGTACGGATCTGGATGGGGAGAAACAGATTCAGGCTCAACCCATCTAAGACTGAGTGGCTGTGGTTTCTGACATCCCGATATAGTCAGTTGGTGCCATCACTGACTATTGGGGGCGAGTCGTTGGCCCCCATGGAGAGGACTCGCAACTTGGGTGTCCTCCTGAACTCACAGCTCTCTTTAGAAGAGCACTTGACAGCTGTGGCCGGGAGGACTTTTTATCAGGTTCACCTGATTTGGCAGTTTCTGGATCAGGACTCGTTAAGTACGGTCATTCATGCCCTCGTCACTTCCCGCCTGGACTACTGCAATGCTCTCTACATGGGGCTCCCCTCGAGGAGCACTCGGAGGCTCCAGCTGGTCCAGAATGTGGCTGCACGGGTGGTTATTGGAGTGACGTCGCGCTCCCATGTGACTCCCCTCCTGCGCGAGCTGCACTGGCTCCCGGTGGTCTTCTGGGTGCGCTTCAAGGTTTAGATTACCACCTTTAGAGCACTCCATAGTTTAGGACTGGGGATTCTACAAGACCGCCTTCTGCCACCAGTAGCCTCTCACTGACCAGTACGCTCCCATAGAGAGGGGCTTCTCAGGGTGCCGCCGGTCAAACAATGTCGACTGGAGGCCCCTAGGGGGAAAGCCTTCTCTGTGGGGGCACCTGCCATCTGGAACGAGCTCCCCCCGGAGATACGGAGGATCCTAGATCTGCGCACTTGCTCTCAAAACATTTTTATTCCAGCAGGCTGGCCTGGCCTAACTTCCCTTTTAAATTGCTTTTTAAATTTGTCTTATAAATTGGGGTGTTTTAAATTTGTTTTGGGTCAAAGTATTTAATGTATTTTAAATAGTTTTTTAACGTTTGTACTATATGTATTTAATCTTTTGGCTGTTCATCGCCCTGAGTCCTTCGGGAGTAGGGAGGTATATAAATTTAAATTTAAATTTAAATTTAAATTTAAATAATAATAATAATAATAATAATAATAATAATAATAATAATAATAATACAAATATGAATTTTACTTTATCATGAAACATCGTATTTTTACGGTTTTTTTTTTAACCTTTTAATCTATCCAGTTACTAACTAAACAGGGCCTTGATCTTTAAGTGGATCTGTGTAATCTTTGGCCTGACCCAGTATTAAAATTTATATCCTGGCTTCCTAACATGAAGAATGCAATGTTATTTAGACCAAAATGATTAAGTGCGTTCAAAACAAGAGGCAGATCTGTTCCAGGTTGGTTTCCAAGCTTCAGAATTTAGGCTGCTGCTTCTGTGTGTAACAAAAAAAAAAAAAAGATGATTAACCAGTTTCTTGGTTTCTTGATGTTATATATAATATATCACCTTCCATGTGTGGTGGTGACTAATTCATTAGGGCTGCAAAAATTGTCATCGTCTAGTTGCATAATTTTTTTTGCCCACATCTGGTAGCCTTACATTCTTTCACATTAAATCTAAACTGCTTTTTATATACACATTTGGATTGATTTTTAGACTTTTTAGTTTTATTCTATTGTCATAGTACCTTGCCTGATGAAATTCTGGGAAGTAAAAAGCTTGTTGTCTTATCATTTTGGCTGGTCTTGATAGTATTTGCTTAGCTATGGATTATAAACCAAAGTGCAAGGGGTGGCACAGAAGAGATGAATTATATTCTCCCCCGTGATTCCTCCCATACTTTGATTCTTTATGTATTTTATCTTTTATCACTGGAAACATGAAAATACAGACCTAGTATTTTTCAAGTTGCCTAAACAGAAAAGTATTTTAAGTAACCTCTTAAACAGCCGTGCACATGTAAATACAAAAACTATTATTACGCAAGAAGATAAATAAAACAACTTCCAATTGGTCAGCTTTCAAATGAATGCAGGCACCGTTGTATGCCATTCATTGCTACATCACGCTGTTCGCATCGTGGGCGAGTCAGTCAGTTCGTATTCGTTACGGCGCTGTCAGAGGCAGCATCTAGCCACGCCCCTCGTTTGGAGTCCACCTCCTCCCCGCCGGTCACGAGCAAATAAAAAACAAGAAAGCGCGAGTTCGGAAAGCGAATCGGGAGAAGGCTTGGGTACAGTCGAGTGTGAGGGCATTGCGATCGAGCGACAGGCCCTGACAATAGAGTGTGGACCGGAGCAATTGCGAAGGGCTTTGGTCTTGCGCCGCGGAGTTCTTGTCGACCCTGGGAAATTGTGAGTAAAAAGAAAGAAGCGTAAGGGAGGTTACAGATGCTATTCTAGGTGAAAGCCGCTTTTTCCTGCACTGAGGTAAATGTTCCTTTCTTTTCCTTTTTTCTCCTGTAAAACCTAATGATGTTTTGTATCGTACCAAGTCTAGCTAGCGACTCCCACTCGTTTGGCCTCTCCACCCGCTTGATGCTCCTGTCCTCTTCTAGAAGAGCGCATCTCTTCTGCCTGTCTCTCAGCGACCGAGACAAGCGAGATTCACCCACTTCAGCCTCTCCCGCCCTCTGAAACTGAACTGTTGCTGTCTCGCTTTCTCCTTCCTCATCAAGATCTTCCTGTTCAGTACTGTATGATTAGATTGGGGGATGGGTTGCTGTTACCGGCCGCTCTTAAATTGCATCGATGATCCAAATTAGCACTAAGGGGGATAGCACAAAGTACCCCCTTTCTTTGTCTCCTATGCAGTTCTTACAGTTTTACAATGTGAAAGTAAACTAAAACCACCAAAAGTTTCTATTTTAGTTTACTAAAATAGAATTGTTTTTCAATCTCAGCAGTTTTTAAGGCTGATGAAACTTCCAAAATTCCCTTCAGCAGAGAGAAATGCTGCTTCAGAGCATTGTAGTTTGAACTTAAACAGAAAAGGGTTGTTTTGCTTTGGCTTCTTACTGTCTTACAACTACAGCTGTAGGTTTATTACACAAACACAATGTGTGGCTATGGCTGCTTTATTTTTATTTCTGCCACCGTTGCACATGCTGTTGGCATGTCTCTAATCTATAGAACAGTGAATGGTGTTATTCTGTTAAATGGAAAAAAAAAATCATCAGAGGTGAAAGAAGTGCATAAAGGCATTTTTCATTGCCATAACTGCATAAATATGTTTGTCGACAGTCACCAACTCCCTACCAAAAATTTATGTTACAATATTGTATTTTTAAAAATATTTGTCTTACTTTGGTTTAATAAGTTATTATTTTATTTTCTTATCTCAACAAAGTATATTGCAAAGTATGATTCGGTAGAAATCTGATAAGTACCAATCAATCTTATTTATACAGGTATACTTTAAATCGTAGTCCTTGCCTTAAAACTATTTTTAGCGACTTTGAAGTTGTAACAGCACTGAAAAAAATAACTTATGATAGGTCCTTATGAATATTGTAGCATTCACATGACCAGAATTTGTACCCTTGGCAACCAACAGGTACTTATGATAATTGCAGCATACTAAGGTCCTATGATTATCATTTGTGACCTTCCCAAGATGCTTTCTGATAAGCAAAGTCAATGGGACAAGCTGGATTTGCTTAATGACCAGGTGATTCACTTAATAACTGTGCAAAAAAGATTGTAAAATTGAGTTGTTAACAACTGCCATGCTTAGCAACAGAAATATTGGTCCCAACTGAGGTAGCAAGTCAAAGACTACCTAGTAAATTTTTCCTCACACTATTTGTATTTCTCACATTTTGTTTTGTTTCTCCAGATTTTTGTTGAATATCTCCCGTCCTTAGGATGTTTGCAAAAGCAACCAAGACTTTTGTGAAGGAGGTTGACTGTGGAGGAGACTTAATCTCTGTGTCATCCCTGAATAATTTAGATAAATTACAGTTCCTGAACTTAGTCACAAAGAAAAAGAAAACTTGGTGCTGGCAAAATCCAAAGTATCATCTCTCATCAGTTTCATTGAATGATCTGCTTTCTGAAGATATGCATGAACCTATAAAGCCAGGTAGAGTCACAGTTATACACTGTTATAGGAGATAAGAAGAAGTGCAAAGTCCTATGCGTTATTGAACAAATGACCTGCTTTATTATTGTTGAACTTTGAAATAGTTATTTTTTTCTTAAAATTAGATACAGCAATATTATTTTACATGTTTTCTTGTTAGTTTTCTGGAAGTTTTGTTGGCTTTTGGAAGTTCTTCTGGAAGTTTTCAAAATCCATTTTCAATCAAAATAGTTCAGATTGATCTATTAGATAATAATTTAGATTGTGAAACTTTACAGTTTTATTGGTGAAAATAATGCTATTAAATGACTTGCCTGCAGTACTTAATATTACAGAAGAATAAGTGCTAAAGTCTGATCATTCAGTGGATGCCTACGTTTTTACTCAGAAAGCACTTTCACCATTCAGTAATTAGTGATAACATTTTTATTAATTGTTGTTATTAATTTAACATTGCTAAATTAATATCTGTTGACAATTTAGGAAATCATTGCTTTTAATCAAATGGAAATAGATGATCTCAGATTTAAATTGAATTCAGGCATAATATCCTGAAAAGCCATTAGTAGTTTAGTTAAAAAAACATCTACAATTAATATAATTGAAGACAAATAATTTTTCTTTAAGAAAATTGCTTTTACTTGCTATTTTAGGATAGTAAATTTGTGGGTTACAATTCAGGATCATTGAAGAACTTCATTATTTTCTGTTTTTAAAGATGTCAAAGATTTTTGGCTTTAAATTGATACCTTGTTCTTTTACTGAAGTGGAGTTGATGTATCTTGCTCTGACTACTGTTAAACAGAATCTTATTGATTGACTTCTGATGCTATGCTAAATCACAATGTAATTTTTTTTAGTTTTGTTCTGGCTCTGTGAGAACTCAGCCTTATGGTTTGCAAACTATGTTTTTTAAATTAAGCGGGAATGTGTAAAATATTGGATTTTTAGCTTAGTGTTTTAGCCTTTGACATGATGCCTCGAGACATGAATATATATCTCATTGAGTAGCCACCAGTCCCTCTTCCCTGACTGACTTTTTATAGTAAAAACATAGGAAATTGGAATTACACTAAACAAATGTCACTCTTTAGCATCATCTTAGTTTCCGTATTTTGTTGTTGTTGGGAAACAGTGTTCCTTGTCCAGAAAAAGGACAAAAGAACTCAAGGATAGCAGGTATTGTTTCATGGGAGTGAAAAATTAAAGGATAGAAAGTTGCATATGGTGAATCAGTACTCTGTAAATGTGTACACACAGTGTAATAATTTTATAATTGGGAAACCCATTCTCAAAAACTGGTTTATATGATGTATCAGTAACAGCAAAAGTAGAATTCAGAGAAGTCATGAATGATTTACTATAGCTTCTGCGACTCAGTCTACTTCAAACATGTCAGGACAACAGTTCTTGCAAGTTTTCTTTGTTTTATTGACTCTTAGCATTCATTTGATACTTTTAAATTACCTTTTAAGTTGTAGAAGAAAATGAATATGAAAGTAACCTCTTAGAATTAAGAATTAGCTTGTGAGCATAGGATTGCATATTACCCCAACACAAATGTGATACCCCAAGAAATTTAGAATAAGAAATGTCTGTTCTGTGCTAGTCTTTCAAATATATGATTGGTCCCATTTCTTTTTCAATTTTTCATTGGCTAAAAGTTATTATTTCAGTGTGCTTTTGGGCGTGGTTGACTTTAATATGCAGGAAGATTTGTATCAAGTTGTTTTATTTCCTGTATCCTTAATTTTGTGCTTCATTCACTGTATTGTCCAGAGTCCATCAGAACTAGGGGTGGACTGTGATGGTATAAATAAATAAATAGGCAAAACATGGCAAGACTTTTATTTTGTAACTTTTCGTTTTCACAGCGGATAGACAGAATAACTTCTGGTGGAATTCAGAGAACTGTTACTTAGAATGACTGCTATTTTTCTTTAAAGGTCACATATGAATTTCTAAGACCTAAATCCTTTCAAATTATTAAAGGTTTATAGCATACAGATCTATATATTCTAAGGATGGGAACTTGTGACACCAAGCAGCATTGGTAAACTCTATTAACAAGGCCCACTTGTTCAAAGAAGCTGCATTTATTTTAATATCATGTGAAGGATCATGGATTCTCCACCTTTCCTTTATTCATTCATAAACATTTTAAAATACAGGGAGCAGTGTAAAACAATGACTAAGAAAGTCAGTGACTAAGTAAGTCAACACGTTTTGTTATCAATAGTGTTTTATTTTTTTAAAAAAAAATTATGTTGTGCTTCAGTTTAAAGTTCTGTATTTTGGATATGTTGTTTTTCCCCCAGTTATTGTAGAATCTGACTTTGTGAAATATGAAGGCAAGTTTGAAAACTGCATCAGAGGAAGCATTGATACTTCATTAGGAAGAATTAATTTAGGAACTGGAGGAAGCGATGTTGTGGAAAGTCTGTCCTCTTTTGGAAATCTTAAAAAGCAAGAAGTTGACTTGCACAAGCTTATGAAAGATGTGAAGGGAAGGTACATATTTATTTTATTCATTTATGGTATCTATAAATAGTTTTACTGTACAGGGTTTTAAAGGGAGATGTTCAGCTTTAAAATGGCATCTTTGTGAGGTTTAAAAAGAGGAATTATTTTGAAAAGTTTTACAGATATTGAATGAATAAGAAAGCAGTAAAAAATGGTGATGATGAAAATCATGGTTTCTGGAATTAATATAAATTTACTGGAGAGTTTAGAAATGCTATTGATGACCAGATTTAGTTTATATTATAACTAAGGTAGTTGGATAGAGTCATGTTCATAATTATACTCAATTACTAATCTTATTTTGCCCCAGTCATTCAATTTTAGCCCAAGCTAACTCATACTGTTGTGTTGTAGAATAATTAGAGTGCTCTCATGTATGCCATATTGACCACTCAAGAATGAATATATGTGCAATGATAGGTAAATATACTCTTATATCTGTTTTGAAAGAGATGGGAGACTTGAATATGGAGCATTTGGGAAGATGGCTGATAGAGCACTGAAAAATCTGATGTTAGTTTGTAATTGAGTCATAAATCCAATGCTATCACTGTGACAGTATATTTTTTATATAGGCTGCTTGTATCCAAATGCAGTGATCCAACACATTTTTTAATATATTTCTGATTGGTATACTAGCTCTTTGCTTCTAAAGAGTAAATTGTTTATCAACTTGTTATAGGAAAACAATATTAAGTCCAGCTATTAAAAAGAAGCTTTTTTTCCACAGTAATTTTAATGTACTTTTTGTCCTTTAGGTCAATAAATCTACAGACTTCATTGTTGGAACAAATGCTTGAAAGAAAGAATGATGTTCTTTGTATCCTTACAGAAAAAATATTGACAACTCAGAAATGTTTAATATCTGAACATATTCAAAAAGAGGAAAAACTTGCTGGAATGGTGGGAATAAGTACAAAAATTATAAAGGTATTAATGCATAAGAAAGAATAGTGATGGACTATTTCAGCATTCTAGTGCATTTTTCCATATCATTCCCCAGCAAGATGTATATAGTTTTTGTGCCCTTTAAATTCCCCTTCTGAAAAGGTTGAAATTTCATCCCTGTCCACTCCAGTCTTGTATTGCATTGCTAACCACATCCCCGTGGCTTTTTATTTTTTAGAAAACAAGTGCATTCATTTGTCCCCAAGCACAAATAAACTTGTTTGCATTAAGTTGAAATATCAATGTTTCTGTTAAAAAATGAATGTTCTATGCCCATGATGGCGAACCTATGGCATGAGTGCCAGAGGTGGCACGCAGAGCCTTCTCTGCTGGCACACGCACCATCACTTCAGATCAGATCTCTGTGGCATTTCTTTCATGAGCTTTTGTTTCCCTGCAAACGACAAAACAAGCTCACGAAAGGAAAAGATCTTACCTCTTGCCATGCTGCCAGTGTTGGGATGTCCCACCTCCCGCCGGCCAGGTGTCTTCAGGTCTCTGCTGCGCATGTGCATGCGCATGTCCGTGCATGCACCATGCATATGTGTGTCTGCGCATGTCTGCGCATGCATGCATTCGTGCATGTCCATGCGTTCGCACGCATCTTTCCATTTGGGCATGCGCACATGTGCAGTTTGGGCACTTGGTGTCTAAAAGGTTCGCCATCACTGTTCTATGCAGTTTGAAAGACTGTTTACTATTAAATCTATTTGCTATTAAATGTTAGAATGGATAAAAATTTGTACAATGTTTATAAGGTGAGAATATTCGGATCAAAGTGTGATGCCCTTAACACATCCTCACTATGGTTTTGAACTTAAATGAAAGTTACAAAGTGCTGGATGAAACTAAAGATAATTGAATCCTTTGCTCCAATTCTGTCAGCAGTAGAGAAGCTCACAAGAAGTTAATTATAAAGATCCTCACCCCAGCTGAAAGTCACCACAAATGTATTTTCCATTTGTATTAAGGAGAATTCCTTGTAGTGGACCTGTCTTTTGTGAATTAAAAACCCACCTAGTTCTCAAAGTCAAACTTAAGAAAACACATTTGAGAGCTGTCCAGTTTTAAAACAACTTCTAAAATATTTAGTTATGTAGATTTTGGTGCTCTCTGAACTTGGTGGTTTGCTTGCTGATATTTCCTAATCAACTCTGTAACATCATCAGTACCTAGATGGATAATGAAACATCTGCTCAGAGAACACTAAAGACTCCAATATCAAGATACATATATTCTCATTTATTTATACACGCATTTCTGTTTAACTCTGTCTAACAAGTAACTCTTGGTGCCATACCTCTCTCCACACACCTTGTCGTCATTGTAGTGTGTAAATAGCCCCCAGGCCACCTATTTTATCCTTGCAGCCATCCTATTAAGGATTTGGGCTGAGAGATGATAGTTTAAATTTATCAGCTCTGGGCATTTTCTGTTTCATTTTTTGGCTTTAACTCACTTAAAACTAATTGAAAAGTCATTTTTAAATTCTACAAAATGACTCCTTGTCATCCTTTCATGTGTAAATTAATGCATTTTGGAATTAATTTGCACAAATTAACCAACAATTAAATCTCTCTCTAGGTATCAGTGAATGAAAATGGGAATATGATCAAGAACTCCAATGTGGTATTGGAGATCCCTGCTCCAACTGCAATTGCTTATGGTATAATAGAATTGTATATAAAATGTGACGGTCAATTTGGTAAGTAATGTAGCCACCTTCCTTTTCCTCAGGGCAGCATAAAAGAGCATTCTCATCCTGATGAGCATGCTTTTAATAGACCTAGCTCATCAGCAGAGGTTCTCTTGTCCCAACATTGCATTTTAAATTCAGTTTTATGCATACCATATATAAGTACATATGGCAATTGGTGATCATTTAAAGGGAAGGCTTACAGATGTTTTGAATCAGTATTACAGTCAGAAACTGAGTATAATACATAAGAAGATGTAGGTGCAGGTTAAACCAAGGCATTCAAGCATTTTATTCAGTTGCAAATTATAGATTCTACTATAGGCAGAAAAAGAGAAAGCCTGCTTATATGATCAACTTCCTCTAACAATGGAACTTAAGGATTTTGACAACAGTATATACTTTCTTTTTTCTTTCTTTCTTTCTTTCTTTCTTTCTTTCTTTCTTTCTTTCTTTCTTTCTTTCTTTCTTTCTTTCTTTCTTTCTTTCTTTCTGCCTGCCTGCCTGCCTGCCTGCTGCCTGCCTGCCTGCCTGCCTGCCTGCCTGCCTGCCTGCCTACCTACCTACCTACCTACCTACCTACGGTATCTATCGTATAGCATACAATGTCAGGGAAATCTACACATGCTAGACACACAAGTCATGTCCTGACAATTTAGATTGCTAGTTCATTCTATTCAGTGCTTATTTGTTTATCCTTAGTGCACTGCAAGGGGGCAAACTAGCTTACACCAACTGACTAGCAGTGCTTGGGTTGCTGACTCTTCTGGGCTCCTCTGTTGATCTTGCCTCACCTCTTGTCACAATGCCTTGCACCTGGCCAAGTCCAGTGCTGGCTTCCACTCTCTGCACATACAAACACAGCTAGGTTTTCCCCACTGGAATGGTGCCCATGTATCTACTTGCAATATTGCATGCTTTCGAACTGCTGGGTGGATATCAGATAGGGATTGAGTGACAGGAGCTCACTCCATGTCACAGAGCCAGGCTCAAACTGCCAGAGTGCAGACTATTTCTGGCTGGCAGTTCCAGCATCATTAAGCCACTGCACCACTACATCCTCTTTTAATATATATACACTTATCTCAGCATATGAAATGTTTAAAACATGTATATCACATAATAGTACTGAAAACAGGCAATATTGTTTTAAAAAATTAAGTGAAGGCATACATATGAAGGTAAGAATGATTGCACATTATTTTTTCCCTCCTTTACCATGCTGCTATTTCTTCTCTAATTTCTGTTTGCTGGATTTTAATATTAGGGCATCTTATCTTTGAAACCTTATAACTCAACATCTCTGCTCTGCAGGACTAACCCTAACTTAGGCAAAGTAAGACAGGCACTTCAGGTTAAGGAGGAGCTTATGAATAATACCTCTGGATCATCAGCATTTGTTCACAAGACGCTTGGCCATTCTTTTACTTGTAGAATAAATCTCTGTGTGTCTCATAGCCTGTTTTGCATCGCCTAAACTAGTCTGCAGCTTCTATGTAGAATCAAGGACATTTTTATTTCCAATGGAATGAGGCTGCTTTTTATCTTTTGGGATATACAGCAAATACCTTGAAAATGTTTGCTGTTTTCCACTGTGTGAAATGATCATCCTATTCTACTCTGTAGTGGAAGGATTTTCTCATCTATAGAGATTCTAGCCATTCTTATACATTTCTCCAGTGAACATCCAAATAATTGTGCCTAAAATAGCTGGCTTACAATGTGCTAAGATTCGGTGAATTTAGGAGGCAACATTTTTTTTCAAATAATTTTTATACAACTGGAATAAAAGCTAAAGAAACTATAAAAATATAAGAATAACAAAGGTTATTCTCAAGGTTGACTCAGCCTTCCATCCTTCCAAAGTAGGTAAATTGAGGACCCGGATTGTGGGGGCAATAAGCTGACTTTGTAGAAACACCGCTTATGGGGGGCCAAAAGCCCTAATAAGCAAGTATATACAAAAGAATGAAGACTATTGCTATAAGTGCATTGTAAGCAGCCCTGAGTCTTCGGAGAAGGGCGGCGTATAAATTGAACTAACAAACAAACAAACAAACAAAGAAACAAACAAAGAAATAAACAAAGAAATAAGTGTAAAGGGTAGCTTCTCCTTTCATTACAATAACTTTTGCAATTGGTGGTGCAATGGCTCAGCAGGTTAATATATTGCCTTGTCAGCTAACTCCCGGGTTCAAGACCCGAGTGTCAAAGGACAGAGTGAGCTTCCATTTTACTCACCCCAGCTCTTGCCAACCTAAGCGGTTCAAAAGCATGCATATATAAGTAGATAAATCTGTACTGCTTCGGTGGGAAAGGTTACTGTATTCCATATTTTCGTACTGGCCACATGATGATAGAAGCATTTCTCAGACAATCCAGCTCTCCCTTGGCTGAGAATCTAATATGAGCACTGCCCCTTGAGTCGGTTATGACAGGGGAAACCTTTAAATCCTTAGATTACAACATATACTTTCTTCATATCTCATCTTTTAAGTAAAAATAAAATCCAAAGGTCTCATCATTCATTCCTTATCAGCAAAAATCCAGTTACAATATCTCTGGTGCACTCTGAGCTTGCTTGTTTTCTTGCAAACGTTTCATTACCCTAACTACTACTTACCTAGTTAGAGTAATGAAACATTTGCAAGAAAACAAGCAAACTCAGAGAGCACCGAGGACCTCTCGTTTCAACCTTGAGCTACAAATATTCTCCTTTATTGGTACCCTATTTCTATTTGTGCATTTCTTTTAAGTAATGAAACATCAACTAGTTTTGTTTGTATGTCCAATACCTATTTTTCAGCATTCTTCTCATTGCTTATCACAGTTATCTCCATGTTCAAATTAAGGTCAAACTTACCGTAACTAAATAGCTTGTTTTTCTTTTGCAACTTCCTGATACTTCATTTATCTATTAAATTAGATAATTTTGAAGACCATTTAAAAACAAAAAAACCCACTTGAAAACTCACAGTTAAAGTGTTGTGTTCCATTTTTCGTTTAATTATATAAGTTGTAATGAGTTATCACAGTTACACTGTAATAAGTTTTTTTTTTCTTACTCAATTGTTGATTTTTCTAACTGTCATGGAAGACCTTAATCTGATACCAGGATAAATGCTATCTCTAAATCTTGATAAATACCTGTAGCAGCATCTCTTTTATTCTTGGCATACATTGCTATATCATCACTATTCAAATTTCAAATTTCCTTTTACAGTTTGAGTAGTAAAACATTTTCTCAACAATCATGGTAAAACTTTCATGCTCTCCTGAGTTGTCTTCTTACGTTTGGCATTCATATATTTTTCAAGTATGTACCTTGACTTACTTTTTATTGCTTCTTTGGAATAGTAGTATTCCCTCTTGTTTATCAGTCACATAGGGTTCTTTGAATGCTTTAACTATTCCTGTAAATCAAAGTCCCTATAGCGTTTTGACTTAAAAACTCAAAACACAATGTGTTGTTGCCAGTTAATACCACAGAGGTACAATAATATGAATAGATCAAAGAGAGAGGTAAGGAAAGGAGATGATTTATTCTTGGGGAGTGTCCCAAAGGCATTAAAACATTTGTGACATCATCACAAATGTGATAAATCATGTTAGGTTTTTTTGGTTTTTTTAATCTACATTAATGTTTCTGGAAAGGAAGATTTGGAATGGGGATGCTTTTACACAGATGACAGTTACAAATTCAATTGCATTGTGTTGCTTTTTTTTTTTATTGAAAAGTTTTACAGAAAAAAAAGATTTCCCCCCCCCCTTTCCCTCCCCTCATCCCACCCTCCCCGCCGACTTCCCAGAGCAAAATACAAGGTATTTCAATTAACAATCATAAGCTAAATTAACCTATCTATCCTTAGATTACTAAATCCCCCCCCCGAAACCTTAACTCCACTATAGATAACATAATACTTCTAATACTTAACATTCATTCATAAGCTATTTGATATTTTCTTGTCTGATACTTATTTTGAATATAATCAATCCATCTTCTCCATTCCGATACGTATGTTTCTTGTGTATAGTCCAAATACGCTGAGATTTTCGCCATTTCTGCTAAGTTCGTTACTTTCAATATCCACTCTTCGATAGTAGGCAAAGAATCCTTCTTCCAATATTGCGCTACCAACAGCCTAGCTGCTGATATTAAGTTCAAAATCAATTTAGTCTCTAATACTGTACAATCCGTCGTTATACCCAGTAGAAACAATTGAGGAGTAAATTTCAATCTTTTTTTCAGAATGTTCTGCATCACCCACCAAATTTTTATCCAAAATGCCTTGATTTTTTTACAAGTCCACCATATATGATAATAAGTTGCATCATCACATTCACATCTCCAACATTTAGCTTGCAAATTCGGGTACATACATGATAATTTTTTAGGATCTAAAGTTTTAGTCATAATATCTCCCATTTTGCTTCCCAAATTCAAATTGGCTTCATTGATTTCTTCCACTCTCTCTTCCACCTGAATAACAAGTTTTGACAATCCTGATACTTCAAAAACAATATCATCTCTTATTTCATCATGCTTTATTGCAACAACTTCTTTAATTGACTTTATATCCTCCTCAACTTTCTTTAATTTCCCTTCCAAGATTACTGTTAAGTTATTCATTGCTGCAGCTTGGTTATTCATGGCTTCTTTTATAATTCTTTGAGATCATTAAGAGCAGCCTCCTGACTCTGTGAATCAACCGGAAGTTGTGCTTTCTGTGTCACCACTGACACAATTGGAGAACCTCCTCCTCTTTTAGCAACTCCTGGCTTAACTTGTTTAGAAGCCATCTTTTTTTTTTTTTTTAAAGATCTTTTTTCCTTTCAAAGCCACAAAGTCCCTTAAACAATTTTCAAGAGCTTGTAAATTATAGTCTCTAATTTATCAAGCAAAGTAGTCTTTTCTCCATAAACTCTCTATTCCCAGCAGCTTTAATCCACTCTCACAGAAAGTTCTCAATAAGCACTTTCATTTCTGACTTTCACTTTCAAACCCATAACAAAGGTGCCATCTTCAGCCTCCAGCTCAAAGAAATTCAATTTGAAACATTGTAAGTCCGGAGTTAAGCACTGTTAATTAAAAGCTTGTTCTCCTGTTTCCGCTCTGCCTGCACTTGTAATCAATCAAACTCACTTTTGACAGCAGGATTGGTTGCGGCTTCTAGCTCTGTTTGAACAGAGTTATCCCAGATTCGGAGCTTCTTGGTGGGCAGACTGGGGAGCTCTCACTCTCCAAGCCTCTGGAGTTATTCCAGAGGACTTTCGGGGAGCTCTACTCACTCCCACCGGCTCTCCTCTCCTTCTTCTACCGAAGGAGAGGTTTTTCAGCCGCCAGACAGCCGATTAGCGCTGTCAAAACGGCTTTTACAAAGTCACAGGGCTGGCGGTCTAAGGAGACTGTCCACGAAGCCTGCGGTGCCAACTGGAAGTCCTGTGTTGCTTCTTCTTAAAGCTACTTACCAGTGCATCTCATTCAGTGATGTAATATTCAGGAGGTGGGTGCACACATGTATACATGTATTCATAGAATACTTACGTTTATATTCTGATCATGAATTTGCAATGATATATTGATGACCTTAATATTTCTGTACTGAATACTTCTCTCATCTGTTCTAAAGTAGCAAACTATTCTCTATTCTTTAGCTGTGTGCATTTAATTCAAGCTTTGAAAGAGTCTTGATGACATGGTGTAAGGAAGGACAGAAACTTTTCTGTTTCATTATGAAACAGTGAAAAATTTATGAACATTAATATTTTAAATCAATAAATTAATTTTATAATAGAAATTCTTTGTATGAGGGAGATGGCCGCTATACAATAGAGATTATGTGTATGCATGTGTATATAAATACATAAAATTGCAAGTCCAGCCTACTTAATGTTATGGAATTAATTTCCCAAATGTATGATGGACTTTTCCTTATTGTAAACTCTAGACTCTTATCTACCAGTGAAAATAGCCTGGTGGTAATCACAGAGAACATCTTTATTCTTCTTATTAAATAGGTGATTTCTGATTTGTTACGCCCATCTGGATAAACATTTTATGAATGTACAAGATCACAATATAAAATGGTTTAATGCTAATCAGAATACTAAGAGATAATTCTTCATATTATGGGATGGAGTGAGAACTGTAAATCAAAAGTTATCTGAAAATAAGACAGCCAAACTATTTCTTTTGTAGAATTGTGCCTCCTTCATGACCAACAAGGTGGTTTTGAAAAAGGGGCTATAGAAGGACCATCGGCTTTCAAAGATGCTTGCTGCCCTCATCTTTTTGATGTTGTGGATAATGAGAAATTGTCTGGACCTGAAAGCCCTATTCCAAGTGATGCTTCACTTAACATTCTAAGCAAAGGTAGGACTAGAAAATTGTTCATATTTCCTGTTTATTATACTATTTTCAGCTTAATGTGTGGCTTCAAGGATTCCAGAAACATAGTTCTAGAATTGGATGCATGTGTGTAAAGGCAATTCTTGATATGATTATTGCATCATAAATAATTGGGGTTAATTCCTCCCAAAATGTACTGTATCACCAGTTGTAAACACTAAGAGCTCAATATTTACAAGTCATGGAAATTTTGTATTATTTAAACAACATTCTGAGTTTCCTCTCTTTTCTTCCCATGCTATCTTTATTATCACTATGCATTTACACCTCTAAGTGCTTGAACTAATAGGTAGTAAAAATACCAATAATCCAATTTTCAGTTGCTTTCCATACTTGCCCCAGGTTGATCAGTGGCATAATAATGTTTTATTCTCCTTTTAAAATTTAATTTTACAACAAACTATGTGTGGAATTAACTATAGATATAGACCATTGAAAACTAATGCAATGCTTTTATATATTGATAATATATATTTTACTTATGAATGAACCTTGTTTTCTGCCCTGCAGAACCAAAGAAAGCTAATTTTATATGTAACAGTGGGGGGGGGGGAAGAAAGATTGTTCATTTGCATGAATAGGAAGAAGAAGTGATTCCTACCATGTTAGAAAACGCTACCCATTTGCTCAGTTGAAGGGCTCAGGCCAAGTCAAAATTGGTATCAACTTCCTAGCCTATATATATTTATATTTATATTTATATTTATATTTATATTTATTTATATTTATATTTATATTTATATAATTCTTATCCTTCTGTAGCAAAATTGTTCTTTATCCTAAAACAAGATAATAATTCTTTATGAAACCATTTTCAGCACTTAAATGATGTGATTAGTGAAATATACAAAACAAGGTAAATTTCAAAGCATTTGTTGGATTTTTTACTAAACAAAAAACTTAACAAAACAGGGTTTAATTTTATATGTTTTTAATAAGGAGTCATAAATTCTCTTTTAATTTATAGACATGAAAATATGTTGGCAGTGCAATTTTAAAGCACAGTGCTTATTTCTAGAGCAGGGTTCCCAACCTTTTCTATATCCCTCACCCCAGAACACTTCTGATATATTCTCGCACCCCTTACAAAAGTAAATAATTATATGCATATAATTATGCATATATACTGTAATTCTGAAACTTCTAAACCCAAGTTTTCGCACCCCCGGGAATATTGTCTCGCGTCCTCCAGTTGGGAACCCCTGTTCTAGAGTATTATACTTTGTATATTTTCTCAAGATAACTTCTTTTTCATGATATATAGACCACTCTAGTGATTTTATATATTGCAGACTATTCCAAATAATGTTTACAACTGCATAAATGTGCAGTTTTTTAATTAACTGCTTCAAGACAGACAAGTAGTGCTTGACTTATAATTGGGATCACAAACTTTGTTGAGTGAAGTGGCCATTAAGTGAGATGTCACATGACATCTCATATCTCGACAACTCTCACTCAAGCACAATCCAGATACTCCCTGTTGCTATTATTAAGTGGATGGAAGGCTAGGGAGCACAGGCATGCCTCAGGAGGGTGGGGGAGATGTAATGAAACTGTATCATACACTAAATTATTGTCTGTTAACAATGGTTTACTAACTAAACTAAGATCAATTGGGTTCATGTGATATGCTGGTCAAACAAGCCATTTTATGTCTTTGCATGAACCTAGCACATGGCAACATTCAAACTATTACAGAAATGTAATTCATTTGAATTCTGATTTTCTCTGTTAATGTATACACAAATTTCCTCTTTGATGAAATCATAGGATGAATTTTTGAAATTTGAGTCAGGATCAAAATGATCAGTTTTGTAAAAAAAAATCCCTCCATAAAAAGGCAAATGATTATGATGTGTTACGCATCATGTTACGCATGCTCACACAAACACTCACATACACACACACAGAAACAAACACTCACTATCTTTTAAATTAAGTTAATGTATGTTAAATTCAGAATTGTTAGGATTAACTTCTTCAACTTGATTCTACTTAATGATTAACTATGCATGCATAATACATTTTCAGATGTCCTCCAATTAAAGACCCAGTTCCAACCTTTTATGAATTTATCAGAAGAAAAGCAGAGATCTTTATACCAAATGGTCTGTGACCTTTTGCTTCATGAAGAAACAGTGATGCAACTAGAAAATGTGGTAATTTTTATTTCCCAATCATACATGCAATTTTCCTCTTTTTTTTAAAGCTTGTTCCTTATGAAGAAAGGAACATAGTTTTGATTGCTCTAGTATGTTTCTAATTATATACTTATAATTATTTTAATTATTGTTACCATGAAATCAGTGTTATCTTGGTGATTAGTAGATGGATTGTCTCCAGGATGATCTATCTTTAATCTGATCCAGTATTCCCAATACTGTTAGACCTGAATGCATCCACATTACCATTACTCATCCTGTTTTTCTCTTTTTTCCGCACTGCCTAGCATTATAGAGTTAATGTTTAAAAGAGTCAGGTTTTCACATAATATAAAATCAGTGGAATTTTTATTGGTCTTGACTGATTTGAACATCATTATTTTCTGGATCACAGCAAGTAGCATCACTTACCCAACCTTGGATGATCTCAGAACAAGCTAAGCAGAGTTGCTTAACATTGCTTAAAATTTGGATAGGAAACTTCAAGGTACATTGAGAAGTTTTTTTTAAAAAATGCAGCGAAAAACCATTTCCATATTGTTATGAAAGAAACATAATAGAGGTGTTGAGGCAATCGGAAGTCAAACTTGATCTGATTAACTTTATTCTGAGTATGATTAAATCTGCCCACTGTGTCTGTTCTCTTTTTATTTTGTTTTTGCAGCTGGACAGTATATGTTCTGAGGGGAGTCCAGGCAACATAGCAATGGATGAATTAAAGTCATCAGAGAAACCATGTTTAGAAGAATTTCTGCAGCTTGTGGGTGTACATTTACAGAGCAAACAACAGATTCACAATAAGGAGCTTTTTCTAGCTGCTCATTTCCTCCTCAGTGCTCTGGCAGGTACAAAAGAATAAATAAGCAAGTGGTTTTCTTCTAAAATTATTTTTTGTTGAGAGCAGGTAGGGTTTGCTATTTCAGATTTATCGTATCATGCGTATGGAGGAAAAACACTTTGTAAATTCAGTTTGTGAATGTAGAGGAAATCCTTGGTGCATAAAGTATAAAGGAATGCAGAACTAAATGCATGGTGCTTGGATGTCAACCCTTCAAGGTAGATCTGATTAGGAAATCAGAATTAAAGTTTATTGAGATAAGCTATAATAACAAAATCTTGTTTCTTCCCTTCCCTTCCTCTTATGCCTCTTGTGAATCAGGGTTGAGCCATTCTGAGTGTCTTTCTAATATTTCCACAGACTTAAGGAATGCTTCTGTCCTCTTCACAGTATTTACATAAGGGTTTCCAAAAATTTGCTTCAAGGTCACCCCCTACTTTCTACAAAGGAATTATTTAACTTCAGCTGCCTTTGAATGATGGCTTTCTCATTTTGATTCATATGGTGCTAAGTTTATTTACTGCTACTAATAAAGAAACAAGAAAGGTTCAAGCTTTTATATCAGTGGTATAAATTACAGTGCTTCAGAGTCTGTCTTAAAAGTAATAATTTAGAAAGAAATAGAACTGATCAAAGGAAAAGAATATTATTTTAATAATCTCAGGTGATCAACTCTTAGATCATTAATTGCCATTTGAAACTCAGTATCCCTAAAGAAAAAGACTGTTGTTAAACAAAATTAATCTTTTTTTACATTTTACATTACATTTCCTAGATATCTTTGTGACTCAGTCTAGTTTTACAGATGCTTAGTATTTAATTTCTGTCTTTTGATATCACACTAAGATCATATTTATCATTTCTTCACTCTGTGTTCAGATGACTGACTCCTGATTCACTGATAAAATAAAGACTGTATGCTTGGATCTTTTGTCTAGAGTCTTAGAACTAATCGCCCTTGGAAACTTAAGTCCCACCATTATAGAAACCCTCACTTTTTCCAAGAATAACATTCATATATTTGCAAAGATTCTGTTATTATAGACAGACTTTACATAGCAATGATTTACCGTATTTTTCAGACTATAAGACACACCAGAGTATAACCTTAGTTTTTGGGGAGGAAAATAAGAAAAAAGTTGATTGGCGAGTGGATTGGCCTCCCAGAATAACCCCAATCAGCTGTTCCCAGAGGTGAATTTTAGCAACAGGTTCGTTGGTTGTGAGCTCTGTGCCTTTTTGTTTCAAAGGCTTTTTTTCTGAAGCTCTGTTTTGGAAGTTTTTTTCTGAAGCTCTGTTTCGGAGGCTTTTTTTCTGAAGCTCTCTTTCAGAGGCTTTTTTCAGCCTCTAAAGCCTCCATTTCAGAGGCTGGGCAAGACTATATTCAGAGTATAAGACTTTCACCCTCTTTTTTGGGGGAAAAAGGTTTATCTTATACGAAAAATATGATACTTTAAATCCTACTTAAAGCCCCAACTTAATACTACTGTTTGTGAATCATTGCTCTAATCAGTCTTTAATGTCATGGAGGTTTTTTGGGGAAAACTCTTTCTCAGTGTTGAAGTATTGATCTTCTTGTGACAGGTCAGATTGGATTCATGAAGTTCTTTGAAATGAAACTACAATTTTTTATAATCTCAGATTATTTTTGTTGTTAAATTAAACAGGGATTTTTAATTTTCATATTTTTCCCTTTAGTTTGGTTGATTACATTGTTGTCTTGATCCTAACATGCATTAAGTTTCTGTCACTTATTCTTTTGCCTACCTATCTTATTGCTCATCCAGTGGGTGCTCCTATCAGAGAAAATTATTTCTCTAATTTTTCCTTAAAGACATCTGAAAGTCCTTTTTTTGATCCTCTGTTACCCTTTTACTTGTTCTTGGAGTCTTCATCATTTACTTGTTTTTCACTAGTGTCTCTGTATCATTCACACCCACTTCTACTTATATCTCCAGCAAGCCTTTCACTTCATCTAAAAAGTCTATATGAAGTTGAGCTTGAACACCTTGTCTAATTCAATATATCCAGGCTCTTCTTCATACCATAAACACTCTGCACAGGTAGTTTTAACTTATGACTGGTTGCCTCATTTAAAGCTTGAGGAATTTATGTGAGGGATATTAAAACCCAGATTCAAAATTCCTACAGTTGGGATGGCAATTGTGTGACTGCAGTTCAAGTATCAATGACCAACTGATACTGATGGCTGTTAGCAACATCCTGCATTCGCTTGATCAGGTTTTATTACTGTGATATTAAAAATTGATATTTACTCTCAGTTTTCAGCAAAATTAGCTCATACTGAACCACAGGTTTGCTTGACAACTGCGGGGTTTGCTTACTGACCACCACAAAATTAATAAAATCAGGTCAGTCACATATTCTTGCTTTTTAACCATCATGAGTTATGTCTTTATGGTCATAACTCGAGAACTACTTGTATTTATTAATGATCCTATCCACCCATTTAATAAAGATAATAAAGTCTTTATTTTTGAGATACAGTTTTTATTTTCTATTCTAGTCATGTTTTTTAATATATGCTGACGTTGACTCCTGAGTATTTTCATTTCTAACTGAATGATATCTTACAACGTGCTTGGAAATGCAATTTTGAAGTAGTCAGACTTCACTTGTCAAACCTTTTAAATGCAAAAATAAATGGTAGATTGTCTGAACAATAGTAATTTAAAGGCAAGATTCAATTGTGAGGTACATCAAACTACAGGAATGTTCTTTTCAGCATGGCAATCTAGATTCTCAAGACATTCTCTTTCAGGAACAACATAAATTGTTCTGTTTTGGCAGATTCTAGATTCTATGTGGACTTGGAGAACATACTGCCCTACTTTCTTGAGTTTCTTCAGAAAGATTTCAGAAGCCCATGACTCAGTGCTCAGCGGGAATGATTCTTTTATATTTTTAAAAGTTTTTGTTTGCCTTTTATTTCCTTTCTTCAGAACTGTCAAGTTATTCCCTATGGTTGCTGCTAGCCTGCTGTGACCTCCAGCTTGTCCCTACTCTGTGTTTCTTGGTAAGTCCTGTCAATTTAAGTTGGAAATGTTTTAACAATAGCATAAGTTCTAGCAGCTGGTTCTTAGTGGTACTTATTCATGGCAATATCTTTTGCATCCCTTATGGAATATGTATTCCATTCAGTTTAAGAAATTAGCTAGCCCTAAATGGAAATTGAATTTTAATGTCATACGTATTATCCTTCAACAACAGGTTCCTAAGGCAATTCACAGCAGGAAAGATAAGAAAAATCAGTACAAAACTGAATAAAAAGCAATCACTGATTTTATAAGCATTTTGTCATAATTATGGTATTTCAAATAAGAATCTGATACCTGAAAAACACTGTCAACATTTGGTCTGTTTCTTATACTAAAAAAAATAGACATTTTTCCAAATGACATAGATTTTTTTTAAAATTCATTATTGTTGCAGATTATGACTCAGATAAAATAAAGCTTAATAAAACCTACAGAATACAACCAATAATGCATAGAAACTCCATACATTCCATTAAATACGTCAGTAGGAATTAACAATTAATAAAAGTATTTATTGAAACTAGATTTTTTGTTCATTTGTTGCTATCACTGCACTTTTATTCCTCCATTCTAGTTTATCTTGTGGCCATAGTAATTCTGTTCCTCTTATCAGAAATAGATTGAGATCTTTTGTACACAAATACTTGTAATTTTTTCCCTTTCAAATGTGGTTCTTTAGTTCCTACTGTTACTTATCTACCACTCCCTTTTGAAATACTTGGGAAAACAATAAAGGAGGGGTGGGAGATACGGTTCTGATCTGCTTAGATAAAACCAGTTTCGATTGCAAGAAGCCATGACAATATGTTGCATGCTGACTATTGGCAGGAATTTGTTCAGCAACATTTTGATATAGATAGGTTTTTGTGTGTCACCTTTTGGAAGTATGAATGGTTATTTCTGCTTTTGCTTGCCCATTTTTAATGCTTTATTGTTAATGGATGATTTTCCTATAAATATGCTCTTGTGCTGTGATAAGTGGAATCTTTTTTGAAGTATTATGAATTCATTTTAATAAATATATCTCAATTTTCATAAATTTATTTTAATACAGCATCATAAATACTCATCAAAATGATTATAAAGAAAAGAAAAATTTCAGTATCCTGCCTATTCCGCAGCAGTGCAGAAGTGATAGTAATTATTCCCTTGAAGCCAAAGGGCCAGCTGAGTAATGATCTGATTGAAAGTGCTGTGTAATGTTTCAAAGTGCTGCATGGATAGAATGGCTTTTCTATTGTTTCTGGGGTGCTACAGATAAATGGTATTATGATGGTCTCTGTCAATGACCTAAGTAGCCAATTGGATTGACCTCTGTGTCTACAAGAGTTCTTTTGGAGATCCAAGCCTAGCATTGCTTTCATTCATTTCTCTCTCTCTTTTTTTTAAAGTAAGGCTGCACAAGATCTTAACTTTGGTCTGTCTTGTGTTAATGGAGTGTGCTATCCTTCCTATCCAATTTTGAGGGTAACACAACTTTTAGTCAAAACTTAAAATTTATATAGTTGTGACAGACTTTGACTTCTCAGTAATGATTAAAGTGATGCCTGGCTCGCTAAAACATTTAGTGTTTTTAAGAACAGGGTTTATAATACTGTTATATTATACTTCTTATAATATAAATACTGGTATATGTAGTATACTATTTTGTGCCATTGGGTCTCATTGTATTAGATAGCCTCTACCAACATGCAGAATTCCCAGCTTGATCAGAGTGAATTGTAACACTGATAAAGGGGCCCTACTTGGAAGGAACCAAGTTTATCAACTAGTAGTAGCAATCTCCTGTCACCCCAGAGAACTTGGCAATCAGATACAGCAAACATTATCACAAAGATAGGTCTATGGTCATTTCTCAATATCATTACTATACCAAGCCTGGACGCTCACAGAAAGCAAGACCCTAAAAAAAAAACTTGTTTCTTTAGCTGTTTATGAAGATTTTAAAGATCCTGGACATTTTTAGCATTGCTTCAATGATTTACTAGAGATATTAGTTGAGATACCAGGCTTTTTGCTAGATAATTTGGAGACTAATGGACTGTTCCGTCCTCTATTTCAAAAGCCATTATGATGAAACCCTTAGAGATACCTGCCTGAACCTTGGCAGGATTGTTCTCTAGGAGTTCTACATTCCATTGGATATAATGCTGCCAAAAATGAATCACCTAGAGACGTTTAGATAACCTATGGGCATTTCCCCCTAAATGGAACCACAAAGCAGGTTCATTTGAATCTGTTCTCAAATCTGCCGCTTCAGATCTCAAATCTGAACAGAATCAGGATTTGTGCTGATTTGCGCAGCCCTCAAACATGCAGATGCATAAATATGTAACAATGGATATGCTGTTCCTTTATATACTAAATTGGATTATATAGTATACTGAAAAGGAACATGAAATAGAAACCCAAAAGCCTGAGATAAAGAAAAGGACGAAGAGTTAAATTCATTGAGTTTTGAGACCATTAGCGATACTTTACATTTCCCCAATCTACGCAGAGAGGTTGCTAGGAATTGTAACTATGAAATGCTTATGGGAAAGGTATCTGCACAGATGGTGTCACTATTGAAGAGACTGTTTCACAGAGCTTTGGCTGGAATAGCAGATGAGTATTTTTATTTATTTTATTTCATTTATATCCAGCATTTCTTCCAAACAACTAACCTCCTTTTGATTCTGGTAATCAGCAAAGTTGCCCAGAGAATGGGCATTTGGATTTGGCCTTCCAATTTAATGTAGCATACTTTGATCATTACATTGCATTGATCCTCTAATTTGTTGCATTTTAAGAATGTACAAAAACTACTGTTCCTGAATCTCTGAAGATTAATTTCTGGAAAACTGTTAGGCAGCTTCCAATAGCCAAATTTGAAATAAAATTCCAGTGTTTTCCAGATGTTCCATTCCCAGATTAGTGAGCTTTACATATGAAAATTTGCCTTCATTATTTAAAAATTGTACTATTGTGGAAATGCTTTTAATCAATGTCTTTCTATCTCTGAGCAGCCTAATATGACCTCAGAAGATGGTACAGTGATACTTGCAGATCCCGTATTGGCTCCACTTGCTGACCCAGGAAGGTTTCGGATAGCACAGAGGCTATTCGCTTTATCAAACATTAACCTTGAAATGACGGAATCTTCCATCAAAGCTGCAACCATGAAAAAATCCAATTTTTCCCCAATCATTCTGTATATAGCATTGAATGGCCTCCATGCATTAGGCTATGAAAAAGACAAGAACTGATGAAGCTGTTTGAATAGTTTAATACTACAAGTGTCTCTGTTTAATGCCTCTTAGTGATGAACCCACTAGATTTGTGTTCATGCAATTGGAATATCTGCCGATGGGCTGTGTTATTGGAGTAAGACGAATGCTGAAATTAATTATATGAATGAAAAGATGCAAAGATAAAAAAGCAATGCAGGGATACTTGGTGAAATGTTTGACACTCCTGTATTATTTTAAAGTTTAAAAAGATTACTTGTCCTCACTTTTCAGCCATTTATTCAGCAACCATTCAAAGTTACAACAGTGCAGAAAAAAGTAATTTTATGGCTCATTAACCACCATTCACAACCTTCACAGCATCCGTCAGCCATATGAATGCCATTACAGTCAGTATGTACTGTCTTGAGCCAGACCTGTGATTTTTTTTTTCTTTCACATACCATCACCCCTTGTAGAGTAGAGAGAGATTTCAACAAAGTAAGCTGTTCACTGTTCTACATATCATGATCACACTGGCAGCAGGGAAGGAGAGATTGTCTTCATAAATTGCTTGCTTTTTATTCTTCCCCCCACCTACACCTGAGTGAAGGGTTTGGAGAGAAACGGATTTTAAGAGAATGGCTCCAGTACTAGATTGTGACAGAGTTGCATTGCTTTTGATGCATACAAGATAGCAAGGTCCATTTAGCAATAGCTTCATTTAGAACTGGACTTGCCAGTGAAGAATTTCTTGTACTGTATTGTGCTTCAGTACTAATCTTATTTTCCTTATAAACTAGAACAGCAGCCCCTAACCTTTTAGGCACCAGGGACTTGTTCTATGGAGAGAGGTTTTTCCGTGAACTGGAAGGAGGTGGTTTTGCATGCTGCCTGCATCCCACAGCCTGGTGCTGGTCCACAGACCAGGGGTTGGGGACCCCTGAGCTAGAGTATATTCTAATTGAATACTATGTGGCAATAGTGTATTCAAAATTGAGCAAAAACCAGTGGTGGAATTCAGCCGGTTCAGGCCGATTCGGGTGAACCAGTTGTTAAAATTCTGTGCTACCCTACCTGCCCCGCCCTGTCCAGTTACTCATCTTGTCCACTCGCTTGCCCGGCATAACTGCTGCTGCTTTGTCTGGCTCCCTTGCTTGCCTCGACCACACGGTCTCCGAGGGCTAGCCAACTTGCTCCTTCAGTTGCATCTCACGTGGCGCTCTCCGGCACACAATGGTGAGAAGTGCAATGGAAAAACATGACGGAGGGGAAGTCAGGTAGGCAAAGAAATGGGGGCAATGCTTGGGGGAAGCTGGGGCCTGGGCAGTGGTGGGTGGGGCAAGCTTAGTGGTGCTGCAAAGGCAAAACCAGCAACAACCAGAGCAGCCTTCTCCGTGCTCCTCGTCCTACTTGGGGAAAGAGAGGGCATACGGGCAGCTGGGGCAAGCTCCGTGGCACTGCAATGGCAAAAAGGACAACAGAACAGCCTTCTCGCTGCTCATCCTTCTGCTTGGGGGAAGCAAAAGCCTGGGCGGAGGTGGGTGGGGGAAGCTCCATGGCGCAGCACTGAAATGGACAAAATGGCAACAGAGCAGCCAGCGTGAGGGAAGGAAGACACTTTTTCTCTTTGCCTGCCCTTCACCTTTCCCTCCTCCTGGCAGCTCCCTTTCTCATTTCCCTATTGAGCACAGCATCCAAGATCCTCTTTAATGGGGAGGTGTAACAGAGCAGCCAGCGTGAGGGAAGGAAGCTGCTTTTTTCTTTGCCTGCCCTTCCTCTATCCATCCTGCCAGCAGCTCCCTTTCTCATTTCCCTATTGAGCACAGCATCCAAGATCCTCTTTAACGGGGAGGTGAAACAGCAGCCAGCGTGAGGGAAGGAAGCTGCTTTTTTTTTTTGGCTGCCTTTCCTCTTTCCATCCTGCCAGCAGCTCCCTTTCTCATTTTCCCTATTGAGCGCAGCTCCCAGGATCCTCTTTGATAGTCCACGCGCCTAAGGTTTCCCCCCCTTGCAGCCCAGGGCTATGACAGAGGAAAATATCGGGAGAGGCTTGAGGCTGAAAAAAACAAGCATTGCAAAGAGTTTTCATTAATTTGCACTTTCCAGCTTACTATCACAGAAGTTTGTTTGTGTGTGTGTGTGTGTGTCTTGGGTTGAATAAGCCAGATGGCAATGGCCGGTCTCATCCAAAGGAGTTTTTGTTTCAGGTGGGTCTCCTAGCCTTAGAAGGATAGACAGAAGGAGGAAGGAAAGGGAGAGAGAGAAAGGAGAGAGAAAGGGGAAAGACAAGAGGGAGGGCAGGAAGGGAAAGTGAATGACATAGTTGCATGGATGGATGGATGGATGGATAGATACATGAAGGGAGGAAAGAAGGAGAGAGAAAAGGAGGACCACAAATCTTGGCACTAGACATGCCTTTAGAAGACGCTTTGAAACAGCACAGCAATCTAGGGCTGGAAGGGATTCAGAGGTCATCTAGTCCAAACCCCTGCTCCAGCAGGAGACCCCTACAGAATCATAGAATAGCAGGGTTAGAAGGGACCTTGGAGGCCATCTAGTCCAACTCCCTGCTCCAGCAGGAGACCTTATATCGTCTGAATTATTTTGGTGCCTTTAACAGAGAGGAAAATTGCCAGAAAAGAGGAGTTTACTAGGACAAGGCAGAGGAAGGCAAAGGTAGTCGTCGATTTATGACCACAATTGAGCCCAAAATTTTGGTTGCTAAGCAAGAGCGTTAAGTGAGTTTCACCACATTTTATTCAATCCATGACACCTCCCTGCTCTAACAATCATGTGCAGGCTAGGGAAGAAAATCTGGAGCCGTGTGTAATGTTCTAATGTACAGAAGTTATAGTTAAATGTGTGGTAGAAAGTGGGTGTCTTTTTCCAAATTCAGTAAGTGAAATTGAATGTGTATAGTTTTAGAAGAGCTCTGTGTGTGTACATACACATACAGTATATATATAAGATACACAGTATATCTTTTTGTGTGCCTATATACACTATACTTTGTAATATGTATGTACACATATGGCATATATACATAGGATTAAATAGTTATTTTGGATGTTCAGTAGTGGTAAATAAGTAGACTGGGAAATTGTATCGGTATGAGAGGCCAGGCAAGGCACCCTTTGACATGAGTGACGTCAAGTTGGCCATGCCCACCCGATCACATGATCACCAAGCCACGCCCACAAAACAGGTTGTTAAAAAAATTGAATCCCACCACTAGCAAAGACCATCATGAAACAGGAGAATAATTGAAAGAGCCATTTAAGCAAACAAAGTTAAAATATTGAGCAGCACAGGAATAAATAAGCATGATCTGAAATGTTGGGCTTTCCTTTGGAGCCATTATTTGGATTAGTCAAATATCACAAAGGATGTAGCAAGTTTCCAAGTATTTTTCTTTATGGTGTGGCAGAGAAACTGGGAACAGCAGCATTCAGTTTGGGAGTCATATTTTTAATCTTTCTAGTTATAAAGGCATTTTTATTTACCCTACTTGATTAATGTGAAGTGTATCAAAATTGAGCTCTCAGAGCTGCTTGTTTTAGATTGGGGGGGGTATGTTAAGGAGCAAAATGTAATATTTAGCTTTTCAGATATTCACAAAGGGATATAAAACCCATTCAATTCCATTCACTTCTATTAGCAAAGCCATATGGCCTCAAATCAATGAGTTAACAGATTTTGGATAATATATTCACAGCACTTATTAAATGCTAATTAAGGTATTATGGGAATGATAACGAGTTTTTTTCAGTGTTTTAATTTAGGCATATGCAGTGCAAAAATATGACTTGTTATTCTTTCATATTGATAAAAAAATTGTATACATCATTCAATATAAAATAACATCTATTGCAAGGAAGGCCTACTGTATTGCCTCTTTTCAGCTTCCTTTTCTGATGCCTGTTCTGTGCAGTAAGAATGCAATTCATAAGAGATCACACTGAATTTTCAAATATTACATTTTATTTCATATATACAAAAATAACTTTCTTAGGAGTTTTCAGGATTTCACAGTTTTATACATTTCAACAATGATATACAACTTAAAATGGGTAAACAGATTTTTTTTTAAAAAAAAACAACAACATTGTTTAACTGAATAGCACACATTTGTCCTATGAAATTTCACCACTTTTCTTATGATCCTTTTTCAGAACTTTCTAATCTGATCTATGTGGCAATTTTCTTCTGATTTACAGCATGGAAAGACAATAAAATTTCCTATTAGGGATTCAGTCAAGTCCCATTTAAATCTTCTATTGTCCTATGTGTATCAATATTAGTGCACGTTTGAAAAAAGTTACCGTTTAATAGAAATATTAAGAGCTGAAGCAATAAAAATTATACTGCATAAGCCTAACAGAAGTCATTATTCTGGAATGTACCTAATGATGATTTTCTATCATCTAATCTTAGAAACACAAAATAGCCCCCATATAATTCACCCCCCAAAAAATGTAGATCTCGATAGCATACATATTCGAAGAAATGGTATGACAATGCATCCAAGATATATTATTTTAATACAGCTTCCAAGTTAAAACATCTTTCTCTCGCTAACATGTTACGTTTTCTAAAAAAAGTATAACTATCATATATGCACCTGAACCCTTAATCAGATGTTTCTCTTACCCTCATATTGGAACACAAATAACATCATAAGACTGGACATGATTCTCAGCTATCATACTTGATCAGTAGAAAAATGTTCGATCTTAAAAATGGACAATCCGTTTAGCAGCAAGAAGTCTCAAAGAAATTCAGTTCTGCCAAGAAAGCCCATATAAGGCAAGGACATTGAAAGGAAGAAGATAAATAAGCGATCTAAAATATAGGTATTCCTCAATTTACCACAATTGAACCTGGAATTACCATTGTTAGTCATGATGGGTTTTAAGCGCATCACCATGCCCAGTTTTATGACCTTTTTACAGTGGTTGTTAAGTAAACTCATTGCCCATATATGGGTGCTTTTTTCTGGAAGCCAGAAGTAAACACCGGTTCCCAGCAAAAAATGTAAATTGCTGTCACATGACTGCAGGACACTGCAAATATTTATGGAACAGTATCCAAAGTGTGATCATGTGACAGTGGGGTGATCATCAGAACTTCAAATCCAGGTAATAAGTCCTTTTTTTGTGTGGGGGTAGGTGTTGTAACTTTCAACAGTTGCTAATTGAGAACTACCTACTGTATGTAATGAAATAGATAAGAGGTGTTAGGAATCTCATTAGTTTGTTGCCTGGGGTTTTGTTTTTTTTGTCATGGATGTTGCTATTTTAATATTGTAGAGAAAGGATTATCCAATACATAGTTCCAGTCACGGTGAACTTTAATGGAAAACTAATCCAAAGCAATTTACATCATAAACACAAATATTTCAATATGACATGATGAAAGCAGCTTTTGAGATAGTTTAAGGGTTGCTTTGTTTTCTCTGTAAGTTTCCAAGGTTTATTATGGGAACTCCTGCCAATTGAACCAAGATAAGACAAAGCAAAATAGTAATAATGTGCAATGGCTGTAGACTATATTTGATTCTGAACAGATAAAAAATTACCCATGAACTGAAATGAATTTCAGACAAATATTCCCAAAAAAGTTCTGTATTTTACATTTTTATTCCAAAAGTACGTACCTAACTCTAATCCTTTCTATCAGTATCATATACAGATTTGAACAGGGCAGTTTGCATTCAAAATTTTGCATCTTTCTCAAAAATAGCAGTTGCTGCTGATTCCACAAATTGCTAAAACATCATTTTTAGGAACTCATTATTATTATAGATAGGATTTACCAGATCTTGTGTAGATAATTTAGCAGTTAAATTATTGCTGTTATTTTTGAGTATTTTCTTTTCCAAAATCTTTTAACCACAAAAAAATTACTCAAATATTTTGTACATAATTTTAAACGCGCTGGGTATCTGTGATACTAGTAAATTAAATAGAAAGAAATAGAATTTTTCCTGAAGCACCAACATGAACTGTCATTTGAAACAGCAGTCTCCAATCTTGCCAGTTTTGCAGACTGGTAGGGAGGGGAGAGGGGATGGTTCCACATGTACCTGCCACTCACACAAATGGAACTGTACATGCAGGCTTGCCAGCCTGCTGTGCGTACAAGTGGAGCTGAACACACTTGTGCGCTTGCCTGCTTCTTCTGCAGCTTGGTTCTGAATGGGCCATGGCCCAGTAGTGGACTGCAGGCCAGGGGTTGGGGACCCCTGATTTAAAACGTCCCTCAGTTTCTATTATTCTCTTTCTTCAGCTCTTGCTCTTAAGTTCTTTTTTTTATAATTTTCCTTGATTATGACAACTGTCTTTCTGACACTTTCTGTTCTTATATTGGTTAGTATATTTGTATTTATAAATTTTGAAGGCCAAAAATAGTTTAAAACAGTAGCAGCTTCTCCTTGAAGATTCAGTTACTGGCTATAGAGAAATAGGCATTTACATTAGAAACTAAAATTAGCTTTGATTCAGGTCTGACTCAGCATGATTCATATATTCTGCATTTTATTATAAATTTAATATAAATGAAAAGCTTAAATAAACATATAACAATTATATATTCCAGGAACTTTATAGTCCCTGTGAATTCAGTATGACCTATTGTAGCTTATGTATAATTTAAAGTTACCACAATGTATAAACTATATAAATTTATGGAAAATTATTATTTTTTTAAAAAAAGCTTAAACAGATACAATTATGGATTGCCTTAATGGATAAGTAACGTTATAATAACTGTCATGCACTTTTATTGATTTTTTTCCATTCCATAATTTTTGGTAAAATTATAGAACAGAACAATGAATATTATTTACTGATCCATGTTAACATCTAGTATAGGCATTTGCATAAACCATTGTTTTCTACTATTATTACACAGGCATACCTATACACTTAGCACATATATTTCAATATATATTTACTTTGGTACAGATAATTATGTACCCTAATGTCAGCAAGCAATATTTTCTTCCCATTTCATGTACTCATGTTAAGCATAGACACATTTTTCATTTTTATATTGAAGTACACATGGAATCACCCTTATATGATTTCACATTTACTCTATTAATGAAGGAAGGATAAATATACTTTATCCTTTGAGTAAAGTGGTTAAACATGTCTGGTATATTCTGGATTTATTATCCATAGGAATTTGCACTATATCAGTTTAGATCATTGACAGGAACTCTGCAGTTGCAGACAAAGATGCCAAGAACTGAAATTAGGACACTTAAAATGTTCTGCCTCTGATTTACACCTTTCCAATTAATCCATTCTGCACCTCATTTTGCCTGTTACATACTTCTCCATTGCTGCCATTCAGTGGGAGGATAAATTCATGGGTATTCAAAGTTTCATTTCATAGCTTGAACTACTATACCCATGCAGCAAAAACAGTGAATGGCCTATATAATGTGCAGTGATAGTCTGTGACTGAGCATAGAGGTGTATTTTATATCAAATGCAGTAATTCTTATGCATGGCAGTGAACTAACTCTTCCTGTTACATTCAGGACCTGTGGTTTAAATTCCCATATTAATGCCAAGAGTGAATTCTGTGACATGAGCAGTTCTCCCAAGATGATATAGGGGTACCAGCATAAAAAGTCTTGCCCAGAGAAAATATAAAATGTTTCTTGACCAATTCCCTACTGTTAACCATTTCTTTAGAAAGCCATTAAGGCAAATACTGATACTCTGTTTTTCTTCTTCCTGCTTTTGACAGGAAAAACTGACCTTCTGAACCTTAAAACCAACATCAAATTCGTTTAATCACTTGCTAAACTTTCCTTCAACTAAGGCCAATCTGAAAAACCTTCTGCTTTCCAACAGGAGTGGATAATACAAATCAATGGCTAGAAACAAGACATGAGTAGACCAAGTATTCTGCTTGAGAACATTTTATTTTTTAATAAAATAGTTCAGGTAGAATCTGAACAGAACTTTAATCCCGGCTACTTAAAATGCAGCCCAAAAACTCATCTAGCAAAGAGCAGTAGCATCAAACCAACTGGAATGCTAATGTAATAATAGAAAACAAAGGAATGAGAAGCAGTTATTTGACTTCAGGTTTCAGTAATGCCTTCCGCTCAATCTCCATTCAAACAGTATTATATTCAATAAAAGTATAGTCATTTTTACACTTTATCCCACTTCATAACCCTACAATGACATTGAAATTACAGAGTAAAATGTCATTTTGGGTACTGGAAATTTTTTACCCCAGACTCAGGTATACATATTTTTAAATACTTAACATCAGCCTATCTACAGAATTAATGCAACAGAAATAAATTTCTGTACAATATTTCATATTGTTAGAAGCTAATTTCTAAATACCGATAGCAATTAAGACACAGATATGCAATTATTTGCATAACATTTACAAAATATACTTAAATCTTTAAAAAAATACCACAAAGGTTTTTTTTAGTCTACAATACCTTTTTGGTATCAACATTTCTCTATATAAACTAAAAATTATTGAAACCCTGTTTCCTTGTGCATCTTAAAAGGCAAAATACTTAAACGCTAGTTTGTACTCTCTTGGCCTTTTCCAATATTTTTTCATTGTTGGCATCTTGTGTATGATACTTTGGTATTGAAAATAAGCTCTGTAATCCTAGTGCCCAAACTCATATGCAAAATAAATGAAATGGGGAAATGATAGCTACCTCAGACTCTCTATGTGTTAGCAATGTCTGGCTCTATTTATAATAGCAGACGTAATATAAAATATGATCATCAAATTATTACCTCTTAGTAATCATCCATATCTACATCCCCTCAATAGAATATATATCAGAAATCCATTTATGTAATCAGTAAATATGAACCTAAGATGACGAACTAACTAAGGGAAAAGTTATTAGCTAACACTGTAAAACGTGAGTGTGAAACAAAAATAAATTCTTTGATAAATAACACTGAATTTTAGCATCTGACAATAATTTTAGTTTCACACTCTATTTGGTGAATAAAGCCATGTAACACAAAGGATCAGCTCAAAGCCCCATCACATCACGTTTTATAACACACAAAATCACTCATAAATACTCTGGTATAAACTAAAAGCCAGTCGTCATAGAACGATATACAAATACAGAGCGAGGTCATAATAAAAAAGCAGATTTTGTTCCTCTAAGCTATGAATTTTCCACAACTAAGAACATACATTCTACATGCTGAGCTCTTCACTAAGACTCTGTAGCGTGAGGTTCTTTCAGGCTACTTCACCATTACCTCAAACACAATGAATTTACATTACGAGAATTCTTTGAAAAATACTTACTGAATGGGTTGAAATGTTGGCTTTTTAAAAGAGTCTCTTAGGGAAAGTTCAAGATATTGCTTTTACATTTATGTAAAAAGGGAATCTACATAAAAGTCTACAGTACATCTGTCTAAGACAAAACAGCTGCAAAACATGGATAACATTAAGCAAATATGCTTCAGTAACATGGCTCAGTGCTGGTTGCTTTATTAAAGTTCTGTTTATGTCAAGGAGATATGCTTATTAGAACAAGGATTATATCTAAATAATAAAAACTAATAAGATGAAACATTTGATTTAAAACAGAGTTTTACAAAAACCTTTTCAAGTATTTTTCTCCTTATCACAGTGAAAATGTAAGATCAAATGTATAAATGAATGACTGGAAAGTTCTTTAGATGAGTAAAGGCAAAGTAGTAAATCAAAACATTTATAAAAATGCTTCAACGCATTTCCTTCATGTGATATGAATAAAAAGGTTATTTGTAAAAAGTTAGAAAAATTAAAATAAATCACATATTAAGTACACTTTCCCTTCAACATTTTGTATAAAAAATTTGACTAGCATACTATTATTTTAATATACATAAAATAAAAACATATTGGGTCCTGCCAAGTATCTGGCACCACTGTACAATATTTTCTTAGTATAGTGTTTGTTTCAACTAACATTACATGATGTTTGTTTCATCTTTAAAAGAACTGTCAGTATACCCAGCTAATCGGGACCCACTGTGATTCCATTCTCAATTTCTCTGTAGCAGTTTGCAACTTCTCAAAAGCTTTGTCTAGGTTGTCATTCACAATAATCAGATCAAAGTAGTGACTATAAGCTCTCTGGATCCGTGCACTCTCATCAACAGTTTTCTTCAAATCAGTATCCTATTAAAATATTGACAAATATTAAAAATAAAACAATGCTATAAAAAGCAAGGGACTAGAGTCAGATGTAAAATTGAGAGTCTGCATTAAAAAAAATCTTTAGAGACCAGCAAAACTAGGGTTTTTTTAGAAAAAAGTATTTAAAATTAATTCCTAAAAATATAATGACACAGGAATCTGAAATTGCAAACAGCTATGTACCGTAGATAAAACAGATGTTCTTAATTACGTACATTACAGTCTAGTTCTTGGGATTCTTATAGATATGCACAACTCTTTAAACATGCATACAATCTGCATACTTTGAAATCTTACTTTAGAAATAAATGTTTCAATATTAGTTTATTACAATTCTGGATTTCATCAGAAAAATTTCAAAGCATTTTAATTAATAACAAAGCAGCTACATTTTGTGCTAGATCAAACTGTATGGACCATACTAACTATGTACTTAAATGACCGAACCTGTCAATGAATATTTTCCTGGCCATTTTAACATGCAGGTATTTATTTTATTTATTTATTTCCATTTCTATACCGCCCTTCTCCAAATAGGACTCAGGGCAGTGCACAGCCAAAGTAAAAACAGAGCATACAAAATTTAAAAAACAGTATTAAAATAATTAAATATTTTGGCCATAAATTAAAACAACCCAATTTAAAATCAATTTAAAATTTAACTCAAGCCAGCCCAGCTAGTTGAAATAAATAGGTTTTCAGGGCCCGACGAAAAATCCGGAGGTCTGTTATTGTACGTAACTCTGGGGGAAGGTTGTTCCAGAGGGTGGGCGCCGTCACAGAGAAGGCTCTCCCCCTGGGGGTCGCCAGCCAACATTGTCTGGCAGACGGCACCCTGAGGAGGCCCACTCTGTGCGAGTGTACTGGCCGGTGGGAGGCTATTGGTGGCAGAAGGCGGTCTCGTAAGTACCCCGGCCCTAAGCCATGGAGCGCTTTAAAGGTGGTCACCAACACCTTGAAGCGCACCCGGAAGACCACCGGGAGCCAGTGCAGCTCGCGCAGGAGAGGTGTCACATGGGAGCGCCTCGTCGCCCCCATAATCCCCCGCGCGGCCGCGTTCTGGACCAGCTGGAGCCTCCGGGTGCACCCGAGGGGGAGCCCCATGTAGAGAGCGTTGCAGTAGTCCAGGCGGGAAGTGACTAGTGCCTGAGTGACTGTGCGTAGAGAGTCCCGATCTAGAAAGGGGCGCAAGTGGCGTATCAGGCGAACCTGATAAAAAGCCCCCCTGGCCACGGCCGTCAAATGATCTTCTAAAGACAGCCGTGCATCCAGGAGGACGCCCAAATTACGAGCCCTCTCCGTGGGGGCGAGTAATTCGCCCCCAATAGCCAGCGATGGCGTCAGCTGGCTATATCGGGACGCTGGAAGCCACAGCCATTCGGTCTTGGAGGGGTTGAGTCGGAGCCTATTTATTTATAAAGCTCTATCAGCTGAGGATTAAGGTGCCTTAAAGACCATCTTCTGTGTCACTGATTTATCTAGCTATTTTGCCTGATAGTTTACTCATGAAATTATTTTTCACTTTCTTTCATAGTGGTTCACACACTTGTTAGGCTAAATTTAGATTTAATTATATTCAGAATTATATTTGATATTTGAAATTGTCCTTATAAGCTTTTTACCAATCCCATTGACTTCCATATTCTAACACAATCTTAATCCAAACTATTATTTCAATGCATACTATTCTGGCAATTTTAAATGGTTAAATACAGCATCATATATTTAAATGCAGGAGCTATGTCATAAGTAACATAATATATATTTATAGTAATTAGAAGTGTATCCTGCTTTTCAATTAAGAAACTAGATTACGAATGTTATTTGAATTAAAAGAACTTCTTGATCCATAATATATTTTAAAAATGTATTGAGAGACATCAAGTACATTCTTTGCCTCATATCAACAAACTACTAGCCTGCCAAGTTTTCTGGAACAGATGAGGCAGTTATAACAGAATGAAATAAAAATCTGCAACAATCTATGCCTAGAAAGTTTAGTAAAAGTCCAAGAACTACAAATGGCCAAGCAGAAAGAGGGAAAGGAATCTGAAGACGGACTATACTATACTATACTATACTATACTATACTATACTATACTATACTATACTATACTATACTATACTAAATGTAGCTTTAATAATGCTGAGAAAACAAACTAGTTTAGTCACACATATTTTTTTTTTAAATGTTAATTTTCCTTACTGTTAGAAGCTTGGTTGTAATTCCTGCATCAACCACAGCTTTGTGCATTGCACGCAGGGTTTCAAGTTCTGGAGCAGCAATAAAAACTACATAGGGCATAAACTCTGATGTCCGCAACACTTTAAGTGCCTGGAAAGAAAAGAATTAAGTTATGCATTCAATTTTTTGGATAATAGGTAGTGTTGGTGTAAGCAGCTTTAACATTATGCAGATTTCCATGATAGCATAGGGGATAATATGTATTTTTCACTATTTAATAGATAACATGCTTCAGTCCTTTCAATTAAACAATGCTATCTATTAGAACACAGGAAAGGTGCTTTTTCTGACACTGCATTCAGCCTCTTCAATTACGTGCCCCAAGAGATCCATGTGACTCTGCTGCCCTGAGGATGTTCTAGAAGTCTTTACAAACATGGCAGTTCTCCCAGGATATTAGTGGTGGACTTAGTAATAGTGGTGAGATATAGAATATGGTTGTCAGGATGTGTCAGAAGTTTTCTCTATAATGTTTTCTTAAACTGTAAGCTGGTCAAAATTATAGTTGACTTTTAAATCTATATTTCAATTCAGTTATATACTGAATATATGTTTAGCACCTAATGATAGGGGGAACTTTCTTTAGTTATTATACTTTTGTAATCTAACAACTCATAGCTACATTTCAAGTACAAAATGTTGAAGAATTAAGCAAGTTCTAGTCCTGCCTTAGGCATAAAGGCAGCTGGGTGACTTCGGGCTACTCGCTCTCTCTCAGCCTTGGAAAGGAGGCAATGAAAGGAGACATTTCTTTTGGAATTGAATTTGCACTAAACCAATAATTTGCATAGCCTAGTTTGGGTTCAGAGCCATATCAAATTTTGTAGGATATTTTAGGCCAGACTGGGGGGAAACTACTCCCAAAACTGAGTGAAGGCAGGACAGGATTAAATTCATACTATTTTCCCTACCTTCTCCAACCTTTTAATTATTGTAATTGAGTTCTTTTCAAATTTTCTAGTATAAATATAAAATACAGTTTCCAAGCAAATAAGCTTCCCTCCCACTGCCATTGACTTTAAATCTTCAGAGATTAAGAGAACTAGTTTGGTCTAGTGATTAAGGCACTAGACTAAGAACAGAAAAAAAATTGTTCTTGTCCTGACCTTGAGTCACCATCCCTAAGCTGTAGATAACAATGATGAATCCCTTCTGAAAGGTTGTTAAGAAAATTACATGAACTTCTTCATGTAGTTACCTAAAGTCAGCCTCAAAAAATAAAAGAAATAAGAGGCTTATTCTTTATCCATCTACTGCTTCTACAATCACAATCTCCACCATTTGGAGACAATAGCAAATATTGGCCAAAGAAGAAGATGGAAAAAATGCAGTAATGGGAGGGAAAGTAAGCTCAAGAACAATCATTATGAAGCTATAAATGCCAATCTAGATGGCCTTTGGCTCAACTTTATAAGCCACTTTCCATTTCAAAGGAACAATAAAAATTATACATATACAGTGAAGTCATGGGAATATTCCTTTCAGATATGTATGTACTAGCTCCCCTCTAGAGACAACTGGGAAATCCACAACTTGCAGATTTCTTCAAGTAGACAGGACTGAATTTTTTAAAGACTATTTCTTCATGTGTACGGTCTTGGGGAGGATTAAGAGTCATAATGGCCACTTAAATGTTGTGAAAATGGCCTTTAAAACATGCTAAAATAGGAAAAGGACCAATGCTGTTCTTTCTGGCCATCATTGGCAACAACAAGGCATGATGTAGTCCCCACTTCCTGTTGAAAGCCTAGCCCTCTTATGAAATCTGCTTACTACTCAAATTAATGTAATTTCAGAAAATCCAACTCTTAAAAAGTTTCTCCAACTTGATCAGGTGCAAAATTTTCCCACAGATACTTGGGTACTAAAATATTACACCAGCATACCTGTGGATTCACATCTAAGATACATGTTCTTCCAGTCTGAACCACTTCAATAATAGAATCTATTTTGGTACCATAAAGATTTCCTTCATATTCCCCGTGTTCTAAATATCTTCCTGCTTTAATATCTGCCTCCATTTCACTTCGTGACACAAACCGGTATGCTTGTCCATCTTTCTCATCATCCCTCGGTTTCCGTGATGTAACTAAATAAATTGACATATGAACAGAACAATAATATACAAAAGATACAGCCAGGTGTGCTTTTATGTAAGAACTTCTTACAGAAAGACACAAAGATCTGAATACAGTAGATTTCCTGTACTAGTAGAAAGGCTCTTCAGTTCAAGAATGGTTTCCTGCTATGGCTCACAAAATAATTTCTCTGTTTCAGGAAACAGCAATAGTACTTACTTATATATCGCTTTACAGCCTCTCTAAGCAGTTTACAGAATCAGCCTATTGCCTCCAACAATCTGGGTGCTCATTTTACTAACCTCGGAAGAATGGAAGGCTGAGTCAACCTTGAACTGGTGAGACTCAAACTGCCAAACTGCAGGCAGTCAGCAGAAGTAGCCTGCAATACTGCATTTTAACCACTGTGCCACCACCGCTCATAACCTTTCAACCTTGAGGTATAAACCTGAAAGAAGGATTGGGGGCAGCAGGAGATCACATAAAAGCTCCAGAAATTAGGCTTTTAGTCTGCAGAGCTATTTTAATTTGCATTTTTATTTTCATTGTGAGTTCATGCACTTCCTGCCTCTCTCCCATCTGCATCTGAAAAAAATAAGTATTTTAGCAACTATTTATAATTAAAATATTTAAATGAACTTGCATACAAATAGTTTAAATTCGAATCTGTAGAATTCCTTATGTAATGCATTCCAAAGTGTGTTTGGAAGTAGCTTATTCCCAGGGGAATATGCTTTGAAGCACAACTGCCCAGATGTTTTCTGATACTATTTTACTGCCAAATATGTAAAACATGCCAATATTAGAAAATGAACTAGCTACAAACTTCAAATGCATTTATTCATAGTATTTTAACCCGTACAGGTAATCCTTGAGTTATGAATGTAATGGAGCCTGCCAGTTATTTATAACCCGAGGATTTATTGGAGTGAATCACATAAAGTGAACATAAAAACTTCCTGCTTTCGCCTACGCATTCGTTAATTGAATGTGCTGGTCGTTAAGTGTGCAAGGTATCTCAGAGTGGGGAAGGCATGGTGATGGAACAGGCCACTCAAGGCCTCCCCCCGACTCACTGAGATACCTCATGCACTCCGCAATTGCTTCCCCCCATCCTACTGAGAATGATCTGAGAATGATCTCAGTTCGAATCCAAGGCAAACCATTCAACATCACAGTAGTCGAAGTCTATACCCCAACCACTGGTGCTGAAGAGGATGAAATTGACCAGTTTTATGAAGTCCTACAGCATCTTATAGAATTAACACCAAAAAATGATGTCCTTATCATCATGGAGGATTGGAATGCTAAAGTAGGAAGCCAAAAGATAACCGGAATAACAGGCAAGTTTGGCCTTGGAGTACAAAATGAAGCAGGTCACAGGCTGATAGAATTTTGTCAAGAGAATACAATGGTCATAGCAAACACACTTTTCCAACAACCCAAGAGACGACTCTACACATGGACATCACCAGTCAACACAGAAATCAGATTGACTATGTGCTCTGCAACCAAAGATGGAGAAGCTCTATACAGTCAGTAAAAACAAGACCAGGAGTTGACTGTGCTCAGATCATGAGCTTTTCATTGCAAAATTTAGGCTTAAATTGAAGAAATAGGGAAAAGCACTAGGCCACTCAGGTATGAACTAAATCATATTCCTGATGAATATACAGTAGAGGTGACAAATAGAAGGAATTATTAAGGAATTAGATCTGATAGATAGAGTACCTGAAGAACTATGGACAGAGGTTCGCAACATTGTACAAGAGGTAGCACTAAAACCATCCCAAAGAAAAAGAAACGCAAGAAAGCAAAATGGCTGTCTGAGGAAGCTTTGCAGATAGCTGAGGAAAGAAGGGAAGGGAAAAGCATGGGAGAAAGAGAAAGATTCACCCAATTGAATGCAGAATTAAAGAGAATAACTAGAAGAGATAAGAATGCATTCTTAAATGAATAGTGCAAAGAAATGAAAGAGAACAATAGAATAGGGAGGACCAGAGATCTCTTCAAGAAAATTGGAGATATGAAGGGAACGTTTCATGCAAAGATGGGCATGGTAAAGGACCAAAATGGCAGGGACCTAACAGAGGCAGAAGAGATTAAGAAGAGGTGGCAAAATTACACAGAAGAACTATACAAGAATGAGTTTAACGTCCCTGATAACCATGATGGAATGGTCACTGACTTTGAGCCATACATCCTAGAATGTGAAGTCAAATGGGCCTTAGGAAATCTGAGCAACAAAAAAGCTGGTGGAGGTGACAGTATTCCAGCTGAGCTATTCAAAATCTATTCAAAGGCGATCAAATTGGTCAGTCCTAGAGGAGATCAACCCTGACTGCTCTTTAGAAGGCCAGATCCTGAAGATGAAGTTCAAATACTTTGGCCACCTAATATAAGAAGGAAGGACACAATGGAGAAGAGCCTAATGCTGGAAAAGATTGAAGACAAAAGAAGAATGAGACGACAGAGAATGAGGTGGCTTGATGGAGTCACTGAAGCAGTAGGCGTGAGCTTAAATGGACTCCAGAGGATGGCAGATAGGAGACAGATCTTTGCAAGGTAAGTGAATCTGGCATGGCAGGATGAGGGAAAAGCAACTGTGGGCAACTGAGGGGACGAATAGGCAGGGTAAATGTTGCAGTTCCTCTGCGGTCATTTGTAAGGGTGAATGACTGTGTGACTGTGTTGTAAATACTTGGGAGGGTTATCGTGTAACTTCATTACATCGTGTAACAGTCATTAAGTGAACTGTCATACCTCGAGGATTACCTGTACTTTCCAACCAATACCATTCTGAGCTTTCTTTTGCCAATTGAGCCCTCAATACTTGTTAATGTTGTCGCATATTGGTTGGAAACATGAAGAAGAGAAGCCTTCATCCTGCAGTGGATAGACAATGACTAAAGTGATGATTTTAATTTGTAGATTTTAATTTCTACCTCATTTCATAATGTCTATCTGAAATTAAGGTTATCAGGAATCAAAGAAATATGTTTAGTGAATCTATGTAAAATAAGCAAACAAATGAGTGTTATAAAAACTTACATGGGACTGTGGTTCCAAATTTTGTGGGATTCAGTACAATAAATCTATTTTTCAGACTCCTTCGGCCAACTCCTTGGGCCCCTATTAAGACCAGTGTTTTTCTTTGAAATGGAGGCATTTTTGCTACTTCCTCATATATCTGAATTTCATGTCGATCAAATTCTAGATGCAACAGAATATGTTAAAATCAAGGCATTGTGAACATTATATAAATTTCACAATACTAGGAATGCAATCCGCCAACCAGCCATGAAGCTCATTGGTTGACTTTGGGACAGTTATTCTCAACCGAATCAATTTGTGATTTCTTGAATCTCAGGTGGGAGGCTGTCCAAAGGGTTGGGCTAGCCACTAGAAATCAGAGCCTCTGAGGCCCCTATTACGTGACATCATTTAAGAGAAGGGATCTACAATGCAGAAAGGACAGATTACTTCAAGAAGAGGCAGATAAGCTAGTCATGTAAGGTTTTCAAGATGATATCCATTTTTATTATTTCCAGCATTGAAGATAGTGTATGTATGTATGTATGTATGTATGTATGTATGTATGTATGTATGTATGTATGTATTTTCAGGAGGCGGGCAGTATCCAATCGTGGCAGAAAGTCCTCTGCAATAAGTTGATAGGACTAGGCAATTACAGTTGATTTAATGTAAATTTAAGCTTAATTAAAATTTATTACACATTATACACTAATATTAGACTTATTACAAATTATGATTTGATAATTTTGGGAAAGGACTGGGTGAAAGGTCATATGGCCTGGTCCTTCAGATTGTATCTCTGATTTCATACAATAGTTTTCAAATGATGAATATACTATGAATATAGATGGGTCAACACATTGCTAATTATATGAATGATGTAATATACAACAGCTGCAGCTTGTCACAAGGAGTAAAAAAATGTTTTCCTGTAGTAGGATTTCTACTACTGCATGGCTGTTTATTTTAAAAAAAATAGTGCTGTACAGGCACTTGTTCCCAATTACTTCTGAGAATGTTAGATATAATCTGGAACATAGGACTCCTAAATTATTTAATACAGTAGTAAAAAAAAAAATCATTAATGTGCTCCTTTTCACTTTGGTATTAAATTGCTAAACATGACAAGCTAAATTATCTGTGAGTTCAAGGATAATTTGAATTATAAAATAAATTAGCAAAAGAGTGTAAATATATATTTTTAAACTGTGACAAAGGATATGAAATTGCTGGCATGTAGGAAAACTCAGAAAAGATCAGTTTCATTTGGAATCACTTCCTGGATTTGTATGTATAGCCACTGGAGATATAGATAGTCTTTGATACATGACCATAATTATGGTTGTATGCCATATTAGTTGTGTATGGTCAGCCTGTGAACACACCAAATTTTACTATCTTTTTTGCAGTAGTTATTAAACTAAATGAATATAAATAACTTTCTAAATATTCTTGCCAAGTTATTTTTCTGTATTCTAGTATGTAATGCTGAAATTCACAAACCTGCATTTCTAGTTGTGAGATACATCATTTTTTTCTTCCTTTTACTATTTATTGTCCCACAGAAAGGACCTAAAAACAAATGAGATATTTTTGAAATTACAATTTGTTATATTGGTTTGGAACCAAGTTTTAATGTACTCCATTGAAAGCCGTATCACCCTAACTGCTTGTAACTGCTAAATTTGGTTATATAATTATAATAAATTGTTTAGACTTATGGTTATAATACTCCCTATTTAATTTTATCTAAGTACCAGCAGATGGCAGAAAAGATTCAGAAATTAGAAAGAAAACAAATTATTTTGATTACTAATTTGTAATTATGGACAATAACGTATTCCATTATTCACAACATATGGAACTTGAAAAATGAACATAATCAAAATGATATTTTTGTGTTCCTTACTTGAATTTTCCCAGTCCCGTCTAACAAATGCTTTCCTCTTTTCTTCTAAAAACTGGCTAGGAATAAGTCCTGCACTTCCTCCTTCCTTGACATGGCTGGCCTGAAATAAAATTAAGCATGAAACAAAATTGATTTTTACATTATAAGTTGTAATGTAGCCAAAAACAATTTAATGTTCAGATTTATTCATATAAACAAGTTGGATGCACTGTAACACACAAGTAGACAAGCACTGTAACACACAAGTAGACAAAAAATATCTGAAACGTAAAGTATAAGAACAGTTGAGTTTTTCTTTAAAAAATTTCCACCCACCTTTCAACAACCAAAACCTATTTTTCAGTAAATATTCTAAGTGAAGTCCTAAAGCAGTACATGTTAAAAAATGCATTTTAAAAAAAAATCCCATTTCCACCTTTTGCTTTTATTAAATCATTGAATTAATAGATATGAACTTTAACTCAGGATTTCTTACATGTTCCAAGACTTGTACACAGTCTTTAGATACCAAGGTGCATAGCAAGCCAAAATGACATTAAAATGTCATAATACATCGTCTGTCATTTGAGCCCTACTTCATGGCCATCTATGCTTAAAAATAAGATTACATAATGCAGATCACCTAAGTAATATAGACCATTCTATTTGTAAAAACCAAATATATCCTAAGGAAGCAGATTTATCTTGATTATATCTAACAATGTAAGCAGAAATAAAAATGAAGTAGCGGTATCCCTTTCCAAATAGTTAGATGAATTCTATTCAAATTTTCTTTTCCATTTGTCTTCCTCCTGAAATATCAAGACTGATAATCCCTCCCATACAGGGGTGGGTTCTACTTACCTTTACTACCGGTTCGCAACGGGGCTGAGCGCGCACGCTCACTTCTGCACATGCGCAGAAGTGTTCTGATGACATCGGGGTTGGTGAGTGGAGCCTCCCTCCAGTTTTACTACCAGTTCTATAGAACCGGTCCGAACCAGGGGCAACCCACCACTGCTCCCATAGCAACAACCTAAGGCTAGCTGTGTTGGAATGCATTGGACAAAAATTTAGGAATGTGCCCACATAAATAATCTGACCACTCTTTCTTATAACAAACGCTAGTGGATATAGTGGACAACCAAGAGCAGATTCACAGGCATTAACAGGCATTAGTTGTGACCCAGAACTAAGCTAATGAGAACTTTTCCTTCTTCAAATAAGCCTATCTGATGCACCAGTAATTTTTGTTATTTGTCACACCAACCCAAGACCCATATTTTGGCATTTTATGCATATATATTCACACATACACAAAGAAGCCCCTCTCAAAAGCATTTTGTATCATTTGTATAATTTGTATCATTTGGTTATTCTAACCGAGCACAGATGTGCACATGATCTCAAGACAAGCCTGATATTACTCCATATTTTTACAGACAGAATTATAATTTGATCATATAGAAGGGATAGCCTAAGGATCTACTCCACTTTTCATGAAACAGTTCTGAATTTCTGTCTGGTTTTTTTTTTATCCCTTTCTCCAAGTTCCTGCAGTTTTCTTGGGAAGCTTTTTCAGATGTGATTTGCCATTGCTTTCTTCCTAGGGCTGAGAATAAGAGATTGGCCCAAGATCACCCAGTTGACTTTGTTCTTAGGATAGAACTAGAACTGATTTCTTAATCATTATACCAAACTAGCTCTCTTGCCTGAAATTATATTTAACAGTAATTCTTCATAGGATACAAAATAGTATTTTTAAAAAAATAAATGCAGAATGTATATAGCAGAAGACTGGATTAATGCATTGAAAATTTGTATTAAATTTAACAATATCTAACCTGCCACCAGTTTGGGTCTTCTCGATTTACAATCTGAAGAATTTCTCCCTTGGAAAATTTAAGACCAGCTTCTTTGCATGGAATGAGATTATCATTGAATGGATTATAATCAAAGTGACACTTCACAAATACCTGAAACATAATTTTAAAAACAGTTTAAGAACAACCATTCTCAGATTTATAAATGCTCATCAAGTTTGTCACTTGGTTAAAAGTTTAGAAAAAGAAAACAGAAAAAGTTTTGCTGTTTCCCCAGCAAAATGAAGGGTCCAGAGGACAATTCTGAAAGATGATTACGTGTCTGATAAAGGTTCAAGCTGTAAAAATCCCTTGAAATGAATTACTACAGTTATCATGTGGTCATTTATGTTCTTATAATTTTGTTTAAGTCATCCCAATTATTTTTAGATGTCTTTATTCTCAGAATGCAGTCAAGTGAGCTGAAGTGAAATCAATATTTTAATTAAGAGTTCCAGGATTCAAACTTGTATAGAAGATTCTGCCATCTGCCACAGAAGAAAACTTTGTCCCAATGCAAAAAATGTAACCTGAGAGGTTACAATTGAATAGTGTCATAACAAAGCGACTTGCCTTTACATTAAATAATCATTTCAATTATTACTAAAACAATGAAACAATTCTTTTTCATACAATTTTAAAGATATTTTACACATTCTTTAATGTTTGTTCAAAGTTAATTTATTTTATTCCACACCTTACAATCAGTTGTCAGAATTGTTTTTATTTCATGCAGTGTATTGCGCTGTCTTTTAGAAACAATCTTTTGAACAAAGCATGACTAAAAAGCAGTGATACATGGATGTTACAGAAAGCTCCAACACATAAATTCTTACAAAATAATATTTTCCAAATATTGCATCAAAATATTTTAGGTTTATTCAGCAAATCATAGTTCTAAAAAGACAAAATTACTTTTTATGAAGTGAGATTGGACTAGGCCACAACTCAGTCAACCACACAGTATTGGCTTTCAAAAAATATTGTTATTACTGCTTAAGCATAAATATTTTTTTACATATAAGATTTTAAAATCAATGGAAAGCTGACATCTGAGATATAGAGGAAACATAATAAGCTGTATTATACTCAAAGGCCTGAGAATGGTTAATACATGAGCTATAATTATGGAAGACTTTGCAATAATAGCTGCCTCATTTTCACTGCTGCTGCACAATATTTTGCTACCATCTGAATAATGGAAGATGTAGCATCTGAAAATAACATAAAAATTGCCAATTCACCCAGTTATTGTTGAAGAAAAGATAGAATATATATTTTGGATACATCTGTAAATGTCACAGCAAAATAACACATGCTGGGCTACTTCAATATCCCTTGTTTTATAATGACAGACATGTTTCTCTAATGGGTCTTAAGAGTATATTCTTTGTAGAAATGCCAAAGGGAGTTTATTATATATCTAGCTCAGAAACAACCTTACCATAATTTGGGAAATGTTACTACAGGCAGACTAATTAGCCACTCCTCAGCAACTCTATGACAACCAGGTGTTGCTTTTAAAAGTTAAACTATTTGTCTCTGTCTGAATTTCAATATGTTTCTACAGGAGCATATTTGCCATATGGCAATATCTTCTCCAATTCCCCCAACAGGATTATTCAGGTTTAGTGGGAAGTTTTCAGTTGTTATTAATGTTATTAATATCCCTATTTATTCCCTAAGATTCCTTCTAGAAACTGTCCATGACTGATGTTCATTGTTTAGGTGACAATTAGTCTACAGTTAGCTAGATTGTCCCACTTACCCTTCTTATAGAGAAGAACCATTACAGTCATTGACCCCATCATTTGACCACAGAGTGACAGGGTGTTCTTTCCAGACATAAAATTCTAAGCCAAGAACTTAAAGAAGAAAACTAGTAAAAATAAGATGTGTGGGGTGTGTGCCATTTGTACACAGGGGCAGAAAAAAAATAAAAACCCATAAAATGTAATGTATAATTTTATTCTCAAGGAATTTACCAAACATCTTGTGTTTTTAGGAATTTACTAAAATTATTGCATTAATTTTATTCCTCAGAAATTAACATCTTCATTTTCATCTTCAATAGTGAGTCAGTTTGGTGTAGGTGATTAAGGTGCTGGCCTAGAAACTAGGTGACTGAGTTCTAGATCTCCCTTAAACATGGAACCTAGTTGGATGACTTTGGGCTAGTCTACAAATATAATAATAATAATAATAATAATAATAATAATAATAATAATAATAATAATAATAATAATAATAGCCAATACCCAAAGGGCTACCTCGCTATTTAGAAATTCTAAATTTACCGGACTTGAACATTTGGACTCTACAAAAAACCACTTTACTTGGAACAGCTTACATCCTCCGACGATACCTTAACAGTTCCTAAGTCCTTGATTAGGATTCGAGCTGCTGAGCTATTAACCAGCCTCAAAGGCTGTGAATCTCACCAAAGATTAAATAATAATAATAATAATAATAATAATAATAATAATAATAATAGATAGTAACATGCATCTTTTCATATACTTGAATTGTAGTCAGCTGCATCTTTATAATGCTTGCATTCTGAATGAAATTCCTGCAATTATGTGTAACTGCAGTGCATTTACATATATATTTTAAGTGGCTCTTAGCAAAATATTAACTGCAGACAGCTGTCATCCTTAAATATGACTATAGCTGAGTTAATTAACATATTTTATTAGTCCTAGGAAAGGAAACAAAGTAACATCACTATATAGCTTCAAATCAAGGATAGTACTACTAACCTGTTGGGGAACAATATTATCTTTGTAGCTAGGAAGAATCTTCAGAGTGACACTACCACTAATACTCTTCAGAAGTTCTTGCAATTCTTTTGGATTGTTTCCAACTTCATGACCATTAACCTCTTTAATGATATCACCTACATGTAGGAGACCTTGTCGGTCTATCATTCCTCCATGAAGGATTCTTGCAATCACCAGGTCATTATTCTCCACCCTAAATGTCACACCCTAAATGAACATTTGAAGGGCATCAGAGTTTATCTCTGAAACATTTATACCCATTTCAGAACTAGAATCTTAACACTGTGATTTCTTATTAGTTGACATCACATAAGAGCTGTTAAAACTTGTACACTGTTATGATCCTGAAATCCAAAAGCAAAAGAGGATTTCATACAAGGAATTGACTTATAAACATGGATTTCTCACATTTTCAACTTACTGAACACAATTATTTAAATCTTTATAAGTTAGATACTTATTAACAAATTTATTCATCTATTCTATTTACTAGTTGAAGAACATGTACAGAGATATGAAAGCAAGTCCTTAGCATTTCTTCTCCCTGGAGCATATTAGTGTTTTCAGTGAACTTGATTATTCCTTCTTTCATATACACTCACACACTAAAAGCTTGCAGTCCCACAAAAGCACTGGACTGCCTCAATATATAAAAACAGATATTTAAAGAATTATGCCTCTCCCACTTCAAGTTTATATTTCAGTGTCTATTCAAGAAGTATTTTACCATCTTATAACTTTAATTAAAGAAACAACACAGAAAGATTATGCAAGTCTGTCAAATACATTTCATATTTAAAGGGAAGGGGGAAATCATACTTACCAAAGGCTCCCCTGCTCTTTTATGAATGCCAAGTATACGAATAGCATCTACTGGTACTATCTGATTATTCACCGAAGCATTATTTATTTCTGGACTAGAGGGAGGAGATTCATAACACTTTGATGCCACAATATCATGAGCTTCTAAGAGTGACTGTAAATAGAGAATGGATGAGATGATACATTTAATACATATTTTTTCCAGCTATAATTGGCCAATAGTTAAACAGAATAATTTGAAGGCCATTTCTTGGCAACCCAGAATGGTCCTACAATATTAATAGGGCAGCTTCTCAATTTTGTAAACAGAAATTACAATATATGATAAACTCTATTCATCATACAGAGAATTTTTGTACAGATTGCTCATTCTAACATGTTTTCTTCAGTTCAAAACAACAGATGTGATCCAGCTCAGAAGAAAAGCTAAATTATGCTCTAATCCCATGATGGCGAACCTATGGCATGCGTGCCACAGGTGGCACGCATAGCCATATTGGTGGGCACGCAAGCTCAGCTCCGGCGCAGATGTGCACACCGGCCAGCTGATTTTCAGACTTTCTGGGCCCACCGGAAGTAGGGAAACACGCTGTTTCCTGCCTCTGGAGGGCCTCGGGCGGGGGAAGGCCCATTTTCTCTCTCCCCAGGCTCCAAAGCTTTCTAGGAGTTTGGGGAGGGCAAAAATGGCCTTCCCCGGGGGGGAGGCCATTTTCGCCCTCCCCAAGCTCCTAGAAAGACTCTGGAGGCTGGGGAGAGCAAAGAATGGGTCTACCAGGTCCACCGTGCCATCACGTGCCAGGAGTGGGGGGGGGGTCATGTGTGCATGTGCGGGGGCAGGACACATAGAATTATGAGTGTGGGCATGCGTATGTGCATGCCCGCTCCTCGCACACAATGGCAAAAAGGTTAGCCATCACGGCTCTAATCTGAAGTAAATTAAATAGAAATGGTAATTAAAGTTATTAATCAATCAAAGTATATTTATACTCCAAGATCAAACACATCTGAAGTTATATCAACTTCAGTCTAATATTAACACAATCGTTTTTAGATCTGAACCTAAATCTAGGTTCTAAATCTAAAGACTTGTCTTTTAAAAAAACCTATTTTCATGTGTTTTACAGCAATTGAACAAATTGTTAAGACTAGAAATATACTTACCAGAAAGTGTGGTTCCTTTAGTATACCAACTAATTCGGCAATGTTTTCATCTTTATTTATTAATGGACTGATGTCTTCAAGAATCTCATTGACCAGCTCCAGATTGTTATCACTCACAGCCTCAAGTTTAGAATCCTCTAATCGTTCATGAGCCTATGAAAATTATAGAATAAGACATACTAACAAGAAAAGGGTGTTTGATTTACCATTGATTTTATAATACTTACTAGGTATTTTGATAACAACTCAGGTAGACCAATTATATTGCACTTTCTGCAAATTGTTATTTCATGCAGTGTAATTTAGGATTTTTATCTTTGCTGTAGGACCCTTGAAAAAAACAGCACTTCTGTTAAATAAAGCATGCAAATATACTTTTCTGAATAGTTGTTTTTACTCCTAGTAACAGAAGTAAGACAATAAGGTTAATACACAGCCTTTTGGAAATATTAAGGCACAATTATGCTTCAGATTCTGGTAGAGATTTTCACCACAGGTAATGTTTATGTTATAAAGACTAAATATCTTACAAAATAAAATGTTTCACTGAAATATATGTATCATGCATGAAATGGGTGTATGCTGAAAGGTGACGTTCTTAGGGTAATCAAGTTAGCAAACTAGAATCATTATTATTTTACATCTGCTTCCTTATGGTGTTTACTTTTACCATAGAAGTCTGATTTTTTGCTTTAAAAATAGGGACACCGGTTCCTAAGCCTTGAAGCATTACTTGATAAGGCTGAAAACTTAATGCAAGGTAAATGAGATCAAGGAAATATAAATCACACACTCTGTGATTAGCCAAATTAGCAAAAGGAAAAAGGTCCCCCCCCCCAAAGTTTATCTTCAGCTGGACCATAACTGAGAACACAGTAATGAATATCCACATTTATCTTTTTCTGTCTGATATCTAGAAAGATGGGGGCAATCTAAATTCAGGTTATCCTTTCATCAGATCAGGGTAGACAGCTCTTGACTTACAACCACAATTAGGAACAAAATTCACTACATAGCAGTCATCAAATGAGATGCCCAATTTTATTATCTTTTTACTGCATGTTATCTTTTTACTAACTTGTTAAGGCTGGCTTCCCGCATTGACTTTGCTTGTTGGAGCCAGCTGGGAAGGTTGCAACTGGCAGGCCCATGATCTCAGGATGCTGCAATGAATGAACATGAATGCCAGTTGCCAAGCACCCAAATTTTGATCATGTGACTGTGGGGACATTGTGGAGGTGTAAATGTGAGGGCTGATCATAAATTACGTTTTTCAGCTGCACAGTAACTTTTTGAATGGTTGTTAAATGAATGTTATAAATCGAGGATTACCTAAATAATTCCCTTTTTGAAGAAGAAACTGCCATTCATCTATTAAGCTTATACAGGTAGTCCTCAACTTACAATAATTGAATTAGTGACTGTTCAAAGTTACAACAGCACTGAAAAAAGTGACTGATGACCACTTTTCACACTTATGACTATTGCAGCACCTCCATGGTCATGTGATTTACATTTGAATTTTTGGCAACTGACTCATCTTTATGGCAGTTGCAGTATCCCCGGCAGTGGTGAAATCCACCCCCCCAGTTCTATACAGCTCGCCGAACCGGCAGCGCCGGTGGCGGGAAGCTCTGCTCACCCGCCGGGACGTCATTACGTCCCATTTTTAACATTCTACGCATGCGCAGAACATTCTGCGCATGCGCAGAAGAGGCGCACACGCAGGGGAGCATGCCCAAACCGGTAGCAAAGGTAAATAGATTTCACCGCTGATCCCCACATCATGTGATCACCTTTTGCAACCTTCTGACAAGCAAAGTCAATGGGGAAATCAGATTCACTTAACAACTGTGTTGCTAATTTAACAACTGAAATGATTCATTTAATAAATTTGGCAAGAAAAGTCGTAAAATGAGGCAAAACTCACTTAACCAATTTTTCACTTAGCAACATAAATTTTGGGTTCAATTGTGGTCAGATGTTGAGTACTGAAGAAACAGAAGTATTGAAACTTCAAATTATAACTCACCATGCTTTACATAAGCTACCCTTCTTTTATCTTTTCATGTGCTATTTTTGAAACAACAAATTAATGAATTTAATTAATGAATTTTTACTGAAATCTAGAAGATGAAGGTAAGAACCATGGTGCCACAGTTAGAATGCAGTACTGCAGGCTACCTCTGCTGACTGCCGGCTGCCAGCAGTTTGGCAGTTCGATTCTCATCAGCTCAAGGTTGACTCAGTCTTCCATCCTTCCGAGGACCCAATTTGTTGGGGACAATAGACTGACTTTGTAAACCACTTAGGGAGGGCTATAAAGGACTGTGAAGCAGTACATAAGGCTAAATGCTATTGCTATTAAGGATATTTAATGGTTGCTCAAGAATTACTAGTACAATTAAAATAATTACATTTGGAGGGCTCACTCTGTGATCAAAAGAACTTATCCTCAATCTTCATACTCTCTTGCATATCAGATTTTATTACCTCATATACTAGATACCAGCAATATCTATGCAACTGGGCTCCATAATTCAGCCTCCCATCTTTCTAAAATTTCACAAGAAGTCATTATTGATATATGGACTATCATATAGGGGTTAGGGCTGCTATTGTAATTAGCAATATTTGGGGGAGGGGTTAGGGTGGACATGGGAAAAAACATTTTCCAGGTAGGATCACTTCCTCTTCCTAATTTAAAAATTATTTAGGACCCCCAAGAACAAATTTACACGAGGTTACACGAGGCTGGCTCCAGGAAATTATTAACGCTTCGTTGAGTGAGGGTTACTTCCCCACAGCCTTGAAAGAGGCGATGGTGAGGCCTCTCCTCAAGAAGCTCTCCCTGGACCCAGCAGTATTGGCCAACTACCGTCCTGTCTCCAACCTTCGCTTTGTGGCGAAGGTTGTTGAGAGTGTGGTCGCGCGACAGTTTCCACAATTCCTGGAGGAAACGTCTTATCTAGATCCGTTTCAGTCGGGTTTCAGGCCTGGGCACAGCATGGAAATGGCATTGGTCACGTTGGTAGATGATCTCTGGAGGGCTCAGGACAGGGGTTGCTCCTCTGTCCTGGTCCTATTAGATCTCTCCGCGGCTTTTGATACCATCGACCATGGTATCATGCTGCACCGGTTGGAAGAGTTGGGGATGGGGGGCACCGTTTTACGGTGGTTCTCCTCCTTTCTCTCTGACCAGTCGTAGTTTGTGTTGGCAGGGGGGCAGAGGTCGACCTCAAGGCCGCTCATCTGTGGAGTGCCTCAGGGGTCGGTCCTCTCGCCCCTTTTGTTCAACATTTATGTGAAGCCGCTGGGTGAGATCATCCGTGGCTTTGGGGTGAAGTACCACCAGTACGCTGATGACACCCAGCTGTACATCTCCACCCCAGGCCACCCCAACGATGCTCTTGAAGTGATGTCTCAGTGCCTGGAGCTGTGCGGATCTGGATGGGAAGGAACAGGCTCAAGCTCAACCCTTCCAAGACTGAGTGGCTGTGGTTCCCAGCATCCCGATATAGTCAGCTGATTCCGTTGCTGACTATTGGGGGCGAGTCTTCGGCCCCCACGGAGAAGGCGCGCAATCTGGGAGTCCTCCTGGATATGCAGCTGTCCTTGGAGGAACATCTGACGGCTGTAGCCAGGGGGACCTTTTGTCAGGTTCTCCTGATTCGCCAGTTGCAACCCTTTCTTGATCGGGATTCCATTTGCACAGTCACTCATGCCCTCGTCACCTCTCGCCTGGACTACTGCAACACTCTCTACACTTGAAGAGCACCTGGAGGCTCCAACTGGTCCAGAATGTGGCCGCGCGGGTAATTACAGGAGCTGCATGGCGCTCCCACATAACACCGCTCCTGCACGAGCTGCACTGGCTCCCAGTGGTCTTCCGGGTGTGCTTCAAGGTGTTGGTTACTACCTTTAAAGCGCTCCATGGCATAGGACCTAGTTATCTTCGAGACTGCCTGCTGCTACCGACAACCTCCCATCGACCCGTGCGCTCCCACAGAGAGGGCCTCCTCGGGGTGCCATCAGCCAAACAATATAGGCTGGTGACCCCCAGGGGGAGGGCCTTCTCTGTGGGGGCACCTACCCTATGGAACTAGCTGCCCCCTGAGATAAGGAGAATCCAAGACCTCGGTGCCTTCCGCCGTGCCCTTAAAACTTTCTTTTTTTATCAAGCCGGGCTGGTTTAACATATTTTTAGATTTTTAATTTTTAATTGGTTTGTCATTTTAAACTGGGGCCAAATTAATATATATTCTTTTAATTGTTCTTAATGTTTGTATTGTATGTTTTTATCTGGCTGTACACCGCCCTGAGTCCCTTGGGAGAAGGTGCAGTATATAAATTTGAAATAAAATAAAATAAAATAAATAAAAATTACAATCACATTGTTACAATTCAATAATTTTTGCTTCTGAATTACAGCAGTGCACACTTGAGGTGTTCTGGAGTCCCCCACAGCTTACCCTTCTTGAAAACTATTTTGTAGTCAATTCTCCTCAATTGATACAGCAGGGATTTCCAAGGGGCTAGTTAATGTATATGAGAAGGTGCACTGACCATTTGGAAATTAACTGCCATAAATAAATATTTCATACCTTAGCAAGTGATTTTACAATAGGATTCTCCATAATTCCTTTCAAGAAAATAAGGTCTATTTCTTCAGCTCCTGATGATGAGGGTAAATCAGTAAGATTATCCAAAACTTGCTGCATTGCTACTGAAAAGAAACAGAGATAAAATACTTCAGACTTATAATAATAAATATATAATTAAAATAATTGTCAATAAAATGACCAGCCACTAAAAGGCCAAGCACCAATTATTTTCTCCTTTAATGTTGGTTTTGAGAGAGAATTTAACAACTAAAAAAACAGTAAGAAACCTTTTGGCTACCTTAAAGCTAACATATTTACAAGTAGTTTTGGCTTAACAATTGTCTTGTTTAGCAACTAAAGTTATGATGCCCCTGAAAAAATAACTTTATAACCAGTCTTCTCATGACCATGCCAGTGATGTTTATACGGAATGATTACATTGCTTAGTGATGGAATTGCTGGTCCCAATTCTAGTTGTTAAGCAAGGACTATCTGTTTATGGGACAAATGCTTGAGCATTCATAAAAGTGGGAATGGGTGATGGCCTTTCATTTGTTTCTTCACCTACTTTTGAGATAGAAAAACATCAAAGTGTGGTAGCCACCTGACAGGATGGAAAAAATCGTAGAAATGTGGAGTTAATCCTGTCAGTTTCCATTCATTGCCTATTAGACAGAGCTAAATACACATCAGACAGTTATGACTTGTTTTTATTTATTTATTTATTTATTTATTTACAAACAAAGTATTTATTCACATACAGATCACGACGGGAGCTTTACACAATATATTAACTTCAGTCAAAATATACAAATAAGATATAAAATCTACACTAACCTTACCTTCTTTTTATTTTATTATTCAACCAAGTATACCATTGGTCCCAGCATTGAAAATATGCGGAATCCTTTTGATCTCTCCAAATTTTTGTTAACCTGTCAGCTTCCGCATATTCCATAATTTTTCCCAAAATCAAATCTTCAGCCGGTAAGTCTTTCCACTTCCAATATTGAGCAAAACATATTCTTGTTGCAGTTGTGATATATACAATCAGACACCATGTATTCGTGCCTATCTTATCTGGCCTTATATTTAATAGATAGTATTCTGGTTTCAATTGTAATTTATATCCAGTGATTTCTAATATCCATCCCTGTGTAAGTCTCCAAAACTCAATTACCTTGGGGCAGGTCCACCATACGTGAAAATAAATACCTATCTCCCCACATTTCCAACAGTTTGCGGAGAGTCCTGGGAACATTTTGGATAGTCGGGCAGGAGGGAGATGCCATCTATACACCATCTTATACAAGTTTTCTTTGTAAGTGGTTGCCATCAGGAGTTTCAGTTGTTTCGTCCATATTTCTTCCCATTTTACCAACTCAATTGAGTAACCAATATTTCTTTCCCAGGCAATCATTGAATCTTTAACAATCTAATCCCCTATCCAGTAATTTATTAAGAGTTAATAAATCTTGGATAACATTCTTTCCTCCTTTCCTAATATAATATTATTTATTTCTTGCTGGGTCATATCTATGCCACCTTTTTCCTTGTCTTTCTTATGTTTAGAGCTGATCTGGACATAAGACCACCAATCCAATTCTATTCCCTGAAGATCTAACTCAGTTCTTATTTTTAAATGGCCTTGAGCATCCAATAGCTCCTGGTAAGATAGGTGTTTTTCTTTATTGTAAAGCGAGCTATATGTTATAGCTTCTAGTGGGACCAACCAAGACGGGGTCAAGAAGTAGAATTTACCCTTGATTTTTCTCCATGTTTCAATTAAGATGTTCCTTACATAATGACCTGCAAAGCTCATATATTTTTTAATCTTATCTTGCCAAAGAAAATAGTGCCAACCCTGTTGTAATCCCGAACCTTCCAGAATCAACAATCGTCTTCTTCTCAGCAGGATCCATTCCCTTATCCAAACTAAGTTTGCAGCCTGATAATAATATTCCCATTTTGGTAAGCCGAATCCCCCTCTTTCTTTCATCTCTTGAAGCATTTTAAGTTTAATTCTGGGCTTTTTATTTTGCCAGATAAATTTAAGAACACATTAATTTAGCTTTTTAAAGAAATTGTTGTCTAATCTAGCTGGTGCTGTATAAAATAAATATGTCCATTTTGGGAGAATATAGGATTTTATAATCGCGATCCTACCTAATAGAGACGTCTGAAGGTTCTTCCATTTCTCTAAGTCCTGTTCTGTTCGTTGAAGTAATTTCAAGTAATTATCTTGATTGTTGAGCATTTGGCTGCTAATATAATACCTAGATATCGTAATTTATTGACAATTTGAAATCCCAAATTCACTTCTAATTCCTTACTCTGCTTTGTTGTCAAATTTTTAATGATAACCTTAGTTTTTTCCTTATTTATTTTTAAGCCCGCTACATTTCTGTATTTTTCTAACTCATAGATCAAATTTGGGCCCGATAGAATAGGATCTTCCAATATAAATACTAGGTCATCGGCATATGCTTGTACCTTATATTGTTGGTCCTTAATATGCAATCCTTTTATCCCCAAGTTGCACCTAATTTCCCTCAATAAAGGTTCTAATGTTAGGATATAGCAATGGAGAAAGCGGGCACCCCTGTCTAGTTCCTTTCTCGATGCAGATTTGTTCAGATACCTCTCCATTAATTAAAATTTTGGCAGACTGCTTCGAATAGATTGTTCAAATTTCCCGGATAAACCTTTCCCCGAATTGCATATGTTGTAATAAGCCCACTAAAAAACTCCAGCTCACTCAGTCAAAGGCTTTTTGCGCATCCACAAAAACCAAAGCCAATTGTTTATCAATGTGGGTTTCATAATGTTCCAAAACATTCATGATTATTCTCACGTTGTCTCTAATCTATCTACAGGGTAAGAAGCCATTTTGATCTTCATGTATAAATTGACTTAGGAAACTTTTTAGCCTCTCTGCTAATACTGCCGCAAATAGTTTGTAGTCTGCGTTAAGGAGCGAAATAGGTCTATAATTCTGGATTAGGGATAAATCACTACTATCCTTTGGCAAGAGGGTTATTAACGCTTCTGACCAGGAATTCGGGATCTTTCCCTCCCAGATTACCCCATTAAACAGTCTGTCATATAAGGGTTTAAGACTTCCCAAAGTGCCTTATAATATTCTATCAAGAGACCATCCATACTGGGAGTCTTTCCTGTTTTTTGTTTTCCCATAACCCTTTCAATTTCCCCTTCCATTATCTCCCTGTCCAGTATTTCCCTAGACATATCCGATATTTTGGGTAGGTCAGATTCTTCTAGGTATTTCCTTATTTCTTGCTCAGGCTTATCTTCTTTTCTATATAAATCGGTATAAAATTCCTGCGCTATTCTTTTCTTCCCTTCTTCCCCTGTGATCCAATCACCATTTCCATCTCTCAAATTGTGAATTCTACTCTTTTCCTTTTCTTTTTTTAATCGGTATGTAAGCCATCTTCCCTGTTTATTTGCATTTTCAAATTGTCATTGTTTCATCCACCTAATTTTTTTTCTAAATCCTCTTGGTCTAGTAAATTAATTTGATGTCGCACTAATTTCAAATTCATATTAAGTTCTCTATTATTTGGGTCCTGTCGCAATGCAACCTCACTTCTTGTCAGGTCTTCTAATAATTTGTCTCATTTAGCCTTCTCCTTCTTCCGTTTCCCAGCTGTATAATTTATCACTAAACCCCGAAACACTGCTTTAGCTGTTTCCCATACATTTTAAAAGTTTGCATCTTCATTATTATTTTCCCGGAAGAAAAAACCCATCTCCTTCTTTACATAAGTTAAAAATTATTCATCTTTGAGGACCCTCACGTCCATTCTCCACCTAGGCCTTGTTTTCAACCCTCCCCATGATATCCAGAGTGGATTATGGTCTGCCTACTCATTGACACCTATCTCTACTTTCTGTGTTCCCTGCCGCAATTCCCCTGACATCCAAGCCGCATCTATCCACGACCAAAATGATGCCTGGTGGAGAAGTATGTGTATTGTCTATCTTCTGGATGTTTTTCCCTCCAAATGTCTTTAAATTCAAATTCCTCTTGTATTTGATGGCAAATAATAGGCAGTCTTTTCTTTACAGAGCTCTTTTTCCCCTCCTGTTTCCTGTTTCCAGATATATAGTCTTTATTTTTATCATCCATGGCATTAAAGTCCCCCACTACACAAATGTGTGAGTAATCATATTCTACCAATTTACTGTAGAGATTCTGAAAAAAGTCTTTCTGATTCCCATTAGGTGCATAAATACAAACCAGTAAGCATTTTTTACAACAAATTAGAAGTCTCCGTTCTTCATCTGCAAAAATTAATTTCGAGTTTATATGCCTTTGGACATAAATTGCTACTCCTCTTTTTTTAGTTTCCGCTAAAGACGTATATAATTGACCCAGTTTGGTATAATTCAATAAATAAAGATGATCCCTTTTCACATGTACTTCTTGAAGGCATATTATATTCAGACGTGCTTTTATTAATTTATTAAAAATCTTTTTTCTCTTATTTGGGCTACTCAGCCCATTGATGTTAACTGACAATAGACGAATTTCCTCCCCCATCCCTTCTCCCTTCTGTTGCCCTTACTTGCCTTCTGCTTGGAGTTTCTTTTTTGTTTGTCTTGTTTCTCTCTGGCTCAGTCCCTCAACTCCTATCTCTGCCTCTATTTGCTTCTGTCCTCTTCCTTTCTTTCTCCCGCCTAGCTGTTCTGGTTCCCTTCTCTCTTCCTCCTCTAATAATTCTTCCCCACTCTTGCACTCCGACTCTTCTCCCACATCCGATTCTGAGGGGTTTATATATCTGATAAGAAAATCACTGGCATCTCTAAGGTTGTCAATTCTCACTTTATCTGCCCACGTAAATTGTAACCCTTCCGGTAATAGCCACCTATATAGCATTCTGTGTTTTCTTAGTTGAGCAGTTAAGAAATGATAATTTCGCCGTAATTCCCGTACCCGTCTGGGGAGTTGTTTCAGAATTATCAGTTGTTTGTCTTTATATGTTACCATTTTGTCTCTGGACTTCAAAATCACTTCTTCCCTAAGTGCTTTCTTGGATAACCTAACATGGACCTCTATCGGAAGTTTCTGCCTCCTGGTGTAACTCGTATGTACACGGAAAACGTCATCAATATCTCTCAGAATATCTTCCTTAGCTATCTCCAGAATCCCAGCCAGAATGTTTGCCACTATATCTCTTAGAGCTCCCCCCCCGTTCTTCCACCACATTTTGTATCCTCAGATAAAAAGCTGATCTTTCCATCTCGAGAAAAATAATTTTTTCTTCGAGGGCCCTATTCACAGAGACTTATGACTTGTTTAAGCATGTAGAACAGGCCTGTTAAACTGGCGGCCCATGGATCGGATACATCACATGCAGGTCACACCCACCATGACTCCGCAAAAGCAAAAAACATCACAATAGGTCACAAACCGGCCCATAACACAATTGAGTTTGACAACCATGATGTAGGAGGACATAATCCTTTAAAAGTGCCAATCAATGCATAGCAACCTATGTGTCCCTTTATAAACCACAATTTACTAAAAAGTAAAGAAGATATTGAAATATATATTATAAAAGTAAATAGCCTACATTAGGGTGTAGATCTATATGCTCAGATAAGATTCCATACTTCTATTTCTCAAGTCACAATTTCTAATTTCAATACTACTGGTTTAATTGTATATTATTGTAATATAAGGTGTGGGGGGGAGAATGCTAGTAACTACAGGTAGTCTTTGATTTAAGACCAGTTGTTTGGAGATAATTGCCTCAGAAAAGGTGCTTTATAACCCATAAAGTACTTCTAGCCATTGCATTATGTTGCATCTTCTTCCCATGGTCACATGACTGCATTATGGGAACTGACTGACATTTATGACCAATTGCAGATTCTGTAGTCATATAACTGTGATTTGCAACATTTTTTTTTTTTTTGGCCATTTCTAGTGTTTTTTTGCTGGTTTCTGGCAAAAAAAAACACCCTGTCAGGAGAATAGGTTGCAGTTACAACCTTGCAATTCATTTAACAACCATGTGAATCAGATTTATGACATCTTGATTCTCTTAATGATTGCCATAAAAACAGTCATAAAATTGGGTCTGGTCCTTGATTTATGACCATCACAAGTTAATGATTGAAAGTCCAGTCCCCCATTGCAGTCATGAGTACAGGACTACCTATAACACTAATTTTATCCTTCAAGTATATTTAATTTTGTATGTATGTGTAAGTGCAATAAAGCAACTCGCATATAATAACTGCTTGTGGAAAAGCAGGTCAAGGCAGAAGCACTGGACCAGAATGGTAGTTACTGATCCTCAATAGTGATTTAATGTGCATTAAAGTACACTAATGCTTGCATTAATTTTTAACAATGATTAAAAATAATTATGACATCACTGGAGACAAAGCACAGTAATTGAGTATAGCAAACCTCCCTAGGCTTGCTTTCTGTAGTGAACAGAGGCAATCAGAGGAAAAATTAATTACCATTTTAAAAAGACAAAGCACATCAAACAGGAAATAACGAGATTGTTAAAAATAAAAGTTTTTACAATATTGCCCATAAGGACTACTTCAAAAACAGAGCTTCAAAAACTCATGAACCACTACACATTATCTTCACAATAGTATTCATTAAATAACACTAACACCTACGTTCTTAATATGTCCTCGCTTAAAAGGGGAAAAATATTTTCTGGAAAAATATTACTACGTAGAAAATTTTAACTATGTGGTACCATTCTTAAAATAAACATGTATCATACAATGAAAGCTTTTTAAAAACGTTGCTATAACCACACTGTACAATCAATGCATCCCCATCTCCTCCTAGCAAACAAGCTCTCTTTGAAAAGCTTGTGTAGGAGGCTAATGACAGTTACATTATGCTTTCAGGAATTCTGACAGCATTTTTTCTTCAGTTGATAAGCCAAGATTGTCAACCATACTAAAATTTCAGGAACATAATGCACTTTTATTAATAAAAAAATGAAGAGTAGCAGCTGTGTAGGTAGTAGCAAGAAATTCAAGTTCATTATCTAGATTAAAGCCAATAAATTGCATAAGAACTGTTTTAATAGTTGGGGCAAACTCACTTCAAAAAGATGCATGCAAAATATTTCTCACCTTCATTTGTACAATATCTAAATTTATACACAACTCTGAGGTAACAGAATAATGTACAAAGCAGCTTCCTAAAGTTTACTATGCTGGATGCCAAATGCTGCAAACTTGGAAAAAAATGTTCAATACTCAGAATACAGTTTTTATTTGTAACAAGTAAAATATTATCTGCATCTATTAATCTAAAAAGCAAAACAAAAAAAAAAGCTGCAACAAGCCATAAACAAGCCATAGATGATCATAGACAGTGGAAAATATATCCCAAAAACTAGTATTTTTTCATAATCTGCTTCTATGCAGGTATATCTGAATACAGTAGGATCCATATTGTGTGGTTGGCCACCATCAGGGAATTCTGGGAACTGCAATTCAACCCTTCTGGAAAGCACAAGGTTGGGAAAAGAAATCAATTCTTTCCAGCAAAGTTATGTTTGACTTTGGGAACTTTAAAATGTGTGAAATTCAAGTTCCAGAATTTCTGTCAACTTTTGCTGGTTGGGGAATTCTGGGAATTGAAGTCCACACATCTTTATGTTCCCGAAATTGATAAACACTGTTCTAGGGTAATAGCACTGTATTGGCTGTAAACTAGAATTCATTATTCCTGTCCAAAGTTCACTTAAAGCAATAAACTTTTATTTCCATAACTCAGCTAAATAGGGAACAGACTTATTTTTAGAATGAACAAATAGATAATCAAGCCACAATATTTAAACTATTGGTCTTCTCTAGCCTTTGCTTAAACACATCCAGTGATGAGAGAAATCCACCCTGTATATTTAACTAAACGACATTTCAGTAGCTTCCTTCTTGTTATTTAAAACCAGCTTTACCTACATCAAGAGAAGAAAGAAAATTATTCTTGATCTTTTTCTATGTAATAATTATTTCAAGTTATTTAAAGAGTGCTATGATATTTACAGGTAGCCCTCAACTTACACCCATAATTGTGTTTGCTCAATTTGTATTGCTCAGCAAGGCAGTTGTTAAGTGAACTTGCTCCGTTTTACAATCTTTCTTGCCATAATTGTTAAGTGAATCACCACAGTTAAGTTAGAAACAAGGTGGTTAAGTGAATCTGGCTTCCCCATTGACTTTGCTTGTCAGAAGGTTGCAATAGATCAGGAGTGTCAAACTGGCAATGACATGTATCGCAAATTCCCTCCCCCTGCTAATATGGGGGTGGGCATGGCCAGTGCGTGACGCATTCGGCCCACCCCTGCAATAGATGATCACATGACCCTGAGACAGTGTCACCCTGAGAATGTGAACCAGTTGCCAAGCATCTGAATTTTGGTCACATGACCATGGGGATGCTACAACAGTCATAAGTGTGAAAAACGGTCATAAATCACTTTTTTCAGTGCCGTTGCAACTTCGAATGGTCACTAAATAAATGGCCGGAACACAAGCATTACCTGTATTTATTTATGAATCTCAGTTTAAATAAATTTAAAATAATTTATGAAATGTCTGCAAGAAAACAATCATGCTCAGACAGCACGAAGGACCCATTTATTTATTTATTTTAATCCTGCCTATATTATTTTGTTCAAGGCAGTGAAAATATCCAACATACCTCAACCCTGAGTTGAGCTGAGAAAGATGAAATGGACTGACTCAAAGTCATCCAGCTGATTTTCATGGCTAAGATGGGACTGGAACTTAGTGTCTGATTTCTAGTCTGGTGCCTTAACCACTAGACCAACTTGACTATTCCCACTCTGTCTCCCTTCTTAAGGCTGAACATTCCTTAGTACCTTCAATTTTTCTGTATACCTGAACATCCTTTTTGTTCTTTTCTGCATGTGTTCAGCTTTATCTAAATCCTTTCCCCAAACGAAACCCAATGTTTGATAACAAGAATACCACTGTGGAACAACCAGTATTATTCCCATAATTCAGAAGTTACATTTTATTTATTCATATTTACTTTGTGATCAACTACAATTCCATGATCCTTTTCATATGTCCTACTATAAAATCATATATAATGCATTCCATCTCTGTGCATTTAACTTTAGTTTCTTAAGTACAATTTTCATTTGTCCGTATTTAATTTAATTGTTACTTTCAACCCATTTTTCAGAAAGTATCAAAATTGTTTTGGATTTTATTTGTTTTTTGAAGTATTATACAATTTTGTATCCTTTATAAATCTAATAACCATTCCCTTCACCTCTTCATGAATAAAAATGTTGAAGAACAAGGATTCAGAAAATAACTTTGTTTCTATTTGTAGACCATTTTTGGATTTTTTGTTTGAGAAAGATAAAAATGAAAATTTGATTTTAGGACTCGGTGATTAGATTTGTTATGATTAATATTGGGTATGTTTATTCTTATTATATTCTTTAAACCTATACTTTAAATTTATGTTTAAACTTAGAGTAAGAGGGTTTTTATTACATATATTTTAATATTATTTTGATTAATTTGTATATTTTACATGATGTTTTTATGTTTTTGATTTAACTTAGAATAAGAGGTACTATATATTTGTGTCTATCCTGAAGAAAATCAGAAGTCAATTCCCCATTTTTTTTCTTGTCACTTTTTCTTTATTCCCCCTTTTTATTCCCTCCCCACAAATTTTTCCTGTTCTGTTATTTTATATTTAATTTAATAAAATTGTTCAAAGAAAAGAATGATTTAAGACTGAACCATGTACCTGTATGTATTTATAGTTATTATTTGCATTATGACAATTGTTCATAAAATGTGACCATCTAATGAGACTCTACATTGAGACTTACAATCAGATTTTTGGCCCACCTATAGCAGTGTCAACACGGGCAGCAGCTCTGCTCCTGTTTTATCTGGAGATACCAGGGACTGAATCTGTCAGTGAGGGACGATTCTGAAATCAAATCATGTTTTTGTCTCATAACAGATTTTACTGTTGGTCCAATCCCAATCCAAATACATTGAGATGAAACCATGATGCCAGTTGCACTTTGTTCCCACTAAAATAAGTTGGACATGCTTCTTATTATTTACACTGATTTCAGAACCTTATGTTATACTAGCTGAATCCCCGTGCTTCGCTACGAAACTATGTGATCGGACTTGATAAATGGACACTTGAATTCTCCCCTATCCTATCCCCTTCTCTCCCTCAGCCTTGCCCCACATAAACATCTCCTATCTTATCCCCTTCTCTCCCTCAGGCTTTCTAGCCCCTTCTCTCCATGAGGTTTGCCCCACAGAAGCCAGTCCTATGCTATCCCATTCTCTCCAGAGTTATTTTCAAGTTGGGAGGGGGGGTAGAATGTCTAACTAATTAGCATCAGAGCATGTTATAATAATATAGAAAATACTAATGCTCTGATGGTCATTTCGAAAAATCCTTTCTTAGTGGGTATCTAGAAGCCAAGAGGAACATACGTGGCAAATTTTCAAGTTTGTAGGCTTTACGGTTCTGGAGATTTTGTGATTAATGTGTAAGTGGTTTCCACTTTTATATATATAGATTGGAATTAAACTGTTTCTTTTTGTACCAGACAGTACATATTATCAATAGGCAAGCTTGATATTTACATGATATACTTCATTTTTTAAGATTCAACAACAGGACATATAAAGAGAGAACAATCTACAATACATAAAAATCAACTAAAAGGATGCATTTCAAAAAATAAACAGTGTAGCAGTATAATTAATAGCAGCAAATGTTGCAATTCCTTCCTCATTCTGGCCTCAACTATCCAAAGAATCTTCTACAATCCCTTGTTATTAGCCATAGGTAGTTAGGAACCTTAGAACATGAAATTCAAAACATTGAAGAAAGGGATTACCAGGTTGCCTCTCTCTTATTCTAATTTGTAAAATACCAGGTTTTAACTTCAGGCACTCCATTGTTTCTCCACTACTCAGTTTGAACTACCCAAAAGACATCAACATGTCTCTCTGAATTCTAGGAAGGATTTGAAACTCTATTTTTGCTAAGTGTTACAGCTGAGGTCAAGAAGGCTAGAATTCCTGTGGTTATTTCAACTTCCTCTGTTGTGCATAACTAAGAGTCTGGTTCAAAAGTCATTTTTGCCTTGGAGGACTCATTCCTTAATTGTTACTTTATGCTACAGAACAATGTTATGACCATAGTCCTAACTTTGTTTAAACAAGGAACACTCCCTTTGTTTACAATGCAGACTTATTGTAATACTATGCGGAAGGACCTTGGGAGACTGGATAAAGAAACATTACCATGGGAATGGTCAGATAAGAGATGGCATAGGTGCTGGGGGTGGGGTGAAGATGACATCAATCTTGACTTGCAAGATTAATGTCAGCCTCATAGGATTAACTAGATAGGAAACACAACCAGATGAGCTAATTCTACTTTATTGTAAAATTATATTGACAAAAGCTTTCAAGTCTTCCATGCCCATCTCCTTTATAACCCAACCTTTCTCCTGAGAGTGACTTCTGAGCCTCTTACCCCACCACCCACTATCCAGTTGTGGGCCAAGCTGTCTGTTATCTGACCATTTCCTTGGCAATGTCTCTTTGCCCAGTCTCCCAAGACCCTTCCTACAAAGCACTATAGTTAGGTACTATCCTAAACCATTATGTTCACATCCTTGAACATCCTAGTAAAGAAACTAGAACCTACCATACTAACAACATTTGAAAACTATTTCCCTCCAAAAGAAAAACAAGAACTCCTTAAAAAACTAATTTTCGGAGTTAAACAAAATCCTGCTGAATTGAGCAAATTCTTCTTGAGTGGAGTAAAATTCCATGATTTTTTCTTGATAATAATACAGAAATTGTTTATCATTGCTTTTCTCAATGTTTTGTCTATTGTCAGTCTAGCCTATTACTTCTGGTATTTCCTGTGGCTTCCCATGAGTTTTTCAGTTATGAGCCACATTCAGCTAGGTTTCATGGAATGTAAATAATCTTATTAATTTAACGTCCACTAAACTTGACAAATGTACTTCAATGTGATAATCAATATAATCAGCTTCCAAGACATTGTATCAATGAATTTGATAAAATGTGGTTGATATGCAGAACTTTTAAAATTTATAATTTTAAAAACATATTTGCTTTTAAGGATATTTGTATTTTTTGAGGATATTTGTATTTTCTCTCCATCTTGGTAAACAACAAATACAGGTAGTCCTCATTTAGTGACTGGCTCATTTAGCAGCCATTTGCAGTTACAATAGGAATGAAAAAGTAACTTGTGACTAGCCCTCACATTTACTTCCTTTGCAGGTCTATAAAGCCAAGGAAATCTAAAGCAAGCTCATAAGCACTGTACAATCACAGTTTTACT